GCATTGACTTCATCGGCGCATAGACCGATAGTAAAATTGTAAAAATTCTTTTCGCACAGGATTGCTCGGAATTGTTCCAATCGCCAAGCCAACGTCATATTCCATTACTCGGTATCACGGACGTGTACGTGTGGAAAAAAAGCATAGTTCATCGCGGAATTGTTCGTAGAAAAATTGAAAAAATCGGTCAATCGTATCGGTCCAGTGAGGTCGATCAATAATTTTGATCTAGTCATTTTGGCTCGTATTAATATGGAATCTATATTTTGACGAACGAAATATTTATTCCAATTAGACAAGAATTTTTATCCTTCGCTTTTGTGAATTCCATTTCAAACTCCAATTTTGTATTTATCTGTTTACGGACGAATCGGGTGGAAGTTTCGTTCGAAAAATCCCATTCGAACCGTTTAAAGAGAAACGTCGACAGAGATGCTCGACACCCGTCCCGAAACGTTCGGGTACCTGCAAAAGCCCCACGGTTGGTTCCGATTAGCCGCAGCGAAAATCGCCGGAATCGTCATCATCTGGCGCCATTCACGGAGTCGAGCACACAGTGTACACGCGCGAGGTATGCACACGCACGTGTAGAACGCGAAGGTGGAGTGGCACACGTGCCATGCACCCGTGCACAGGTACACGCACGTTACACCGAGTCGAGACGAAAGTTCCCTTCTAACGCTCACACATGAATGGGAAAGAGCTTACTCGTGAACAGGAAAAAGAGGAATCAAGCAGACCCCGTCTCGTACGGGTTCTCTCAACCGCGAGAATGTGTGCCCGGGGTCGTATCTGTCTGCCTGCGCGCTCGTTTGCCATCCCTGCCTCTACGTGTGTGCATACGTGGTGCAACCTTTATTCGGCGCGGCTGCAGTTTTACATCCTACACGTTTTTGTCGCGAATCGTGCGCATACTGTACATGCAAAGCCACGCTGCTGGCACGTACATGCCACTTTCCCTTTTCAAAATCGATTTTAGCGCCGTGCGCCCCGGCGGCTCAGTCAACGATGTCGACGCTCCTCCGGCTCAGGGCTGTGCGTTGCGACCGAGTGCCCCTGTTTCTTTCCTCGAACAAAATAACAGGAATAACGCAGTGCCAATATTCCTAATAATAACGAAAGACGGAGCAGCATGCATTTGTAGAATGTTTAATACGATAATTTCGAATAAAACCTTCGAAGCAAATAAATTAGAGAAACATGATTAGGATTATTTATTTTCGTAACTTCATCGAAATTCAAGAATTTCATTCGAATTTATTTTCTTCGATATTTAACATTCGGAATTAATTTGTTTAATTCTTCAGTGAAAAGGACTGTCATTCATGTTCCTTATCTCGGTCGCACGGACTCAATTCCAACAATGTTCCACGTCGAAACATAAACACAAGCGATGCCGACACAGAACCCGCGACGCACGATAATGCGCGTAATTCCATAGCGTGCATCTCTACAAAGAAAAGAAAAAAAAAAAAAGAAATATCGACACGCGCACCCTCGCTAATTACCCCCCCCCCCCCCACCTCCCCGGCGTAAACGCGTTCCATTTTTACGCCGTCAAGCGGCGCGCAACGAGTCCCAATTCCCTTCGCAATTAACCGCGCCGCATTACGACCCTCGAACTTTTCGTCAACCGTCCACCACCTTCTGGCCACCCCCCTCTCGGTCACTCGACGCCGGGTCGCGTCGAGCTCGTCCGAGTCCATTGGCTCGTTAAACGAGGAAAAAAAAGAGAGGAAAAAAAAAATGAAAACAGGGAGAGAAAAAAAAAGGTGGGAGGAAGGCAGACGAAGAAAAGAGAGTCCGAAAAAAAGGTGTCTTAAGCGAGATCAAAAGCTCTTCCACGGGGGTGACCCGTGGTCTGCGGTCGTCGCGCGTCCATCCCTGTCCCCGGGGGTGTATCCGCCGCGGGGTTTAGAAAAGGCGCTTCTCCGTCTCTCTCGGAAGCAACCCAGCCGCGTTCCCGTTGTCCCTTTCGCGTCGTCGTGTTCCGTTCTTCTGCTCCTCTGCCCTTCGCGAGGCGCGCGCGGTTTTCCTCCCTTTCTCCGTCGCTCCCAGCCGGTGCACGAAAATACATTACCGCCTTTCGTTAAAGGTGAACGGACGAAATCGCGAGTTACACGTGCGTGCAAGATCCGACGAGGGTGATGCAGGGGCGAAGGAAGAGAAGAGAGACACCGAGGGGGCGGGAGGGCTCTAGAGAGGCCGGTGGTCAGGAAGGGTAGCGAGGGAAAGAGGCGGCAAAAAGGGTTGAGGCTGGCTATGGTGTGGCGGTGGTGTTTTTTTGGAGTGGGAGGGGGGGTGGGTTAGGGGGGTCTGGCTCGTTCGTTCCTCCGGAGGTGAGCGGGGGCGGAAAGGGGTGGAGGAGACGGACCCGCGAGTCAGACGAAACCGACGATATCAACGTTTCACTCGCGCACACCCGCATATACACCTCACGCTACCCGGGTGCCGCCGAAAATCCCCAAAAGCACACGAAACAAAGGCCTGCCCTTCCTCTATCACCCTCCCACGCCCTCCGTGCACCCTTGGTTCTCGATGGAACCCCCCCCCGTAGCACACGCGTGCACACCAACTCTCTCTCTCTGTATACTAACAGAGAGACACAACCGTCGACTTCTCGGTCGGACGGGGGTGTGTACCATCCCTCTCTCTTTTTCTCTAGTAGGCGCGAGCACGTGCACGTCGAAGAGTTTGCTTCGTCGAACCCCCGAACCACGATAGACCTGGCACCGCAGGAACGCGTCGTTCCACGGTAATTGTTTGGTTAACCCTTTCGCTGCTGACGACGTGTATGTTCGTCGAATGGTAGCCTCTTGGATCAACGCTATCGCGTTGGTTTGATTATTTATCGTTTATCTGGTCCTCTTATCCGACAGCAGCTTTTCTAGGTATCTGTTCGAATTTTTATTACTTGCTAAAACACACGTCTTTCGTATTCGATGGGGTTCGTTATCCTTCCAAAGACTTGCGTTTCTCGAAATACCTGTTTTGTATGCAAGTATTATTACTACCCTCGTTTTGATTGTTGTTAAAAATGTAGAGTTGGATAAGACGTTGGGTGGTCCGCGCAACGCGATAATCAACGGTCTTCAGCGAGCTGTAATAATTGGCCGTGCGCAAGCTGGGTCGCTCGGTGCGTTTTCTTCAAGGTTAGTCGAAAGCCCCTGGCGCTGAGTGGGTCGGTGAGCTGAAAAATCGATACGTACGAAAGTGAGAGTCTCAGCCGTTTCAACCCCTCCTTTTCGTTCTTTACGCTCCTCGTCCTCTTCTTACTTGCCATTTGGTTCATTCATGTCGGCGTCGCGCAGGGCCGTGGCTCGTCAGATTTCGCGATTTCGCGCACGTGAAACCGCACCGAGTCAATTAGCCCCGAACAACCGCCACTGTTTCTGAATTAGACTTAAATACCCTACGGTATCTTTGACGAAGTTTCCCTCACCCTCGAACGAGCGCAACTCTGCCCACGGATTGGACGAAACGGAGCCCTAGACAAAATGGAATTTGGCCTAACCCAACATTCAAAATAACAAATGATTTTATCGTGACAACGCAATACCAGCAGAGTTGTATTTAGTTCGATGGTAACCGTTCGGAGTTCTTCCTATAAAAATAAGCAGCAATTACCTGTGGAAATAGACAAATTGCGATAACTTGGAAACAAGGTCAAATGGAGCACGTATTTATACGACCTTTTTTTCATTGTTTTTGTGTCCCGGATCCTAAGTGGGTCCCACATGTCACGATACACTGTACGTATACAAGTCCTCCAGCTACGCGGTTGTGCTTCCACTTGTATCCTTGTCCATGTTTCATTGAGCGTGTGTTTAATTATTAAGCAAAGCATTCCTATATTTCGTAACGATCACTTATACTTCACGGTTGATTTTCTTTTCTCGTTGACGGATATTCGTTGCAATGCACCGTTCTCGCAATTTCGACCCAGTTTCCGCACTTTTGCAGCCGCAATATGGAACTTACGAACTGGTTTTCTGGCCGTACTTTCCCTCTATCGGTCGAGGTCCAATGATAGCGCGTTGCTTCCTTCGCGTTGAATATTAACCGCGGTTCGTTCGCTCTATAAAACGTGAAATCGTCTCTTACTGGGAATTGTACGTATTTGAATAGTACAAGGAATTTGGGATTATTTTTATCGAGCCAGTTTGACATGGGAAAAAACTGTTGTAGATGGATGAAGTGTTTGTTGAAACAACGGGAGATAAGATATTAGTTTCCCTAAACCAACAGAGAAGAGAGAAAACGAGATATCGCGTTATCCGAAAGCAACGTTAAATAGGAAAAGACGCGATATTTCTATCCCTGGCGTTAAAAAAGCTGATAGGATTATATAGCAAGGACAATGCGACAACCAGAGATAGACGACATTTTATTCCACAGTAATAAACGATAGTTTGATCTGTAAATAGTCAGTCTGATCAGCTCGTATACGTTCACGTTAAATATAAGTAGATTCATTTCGTAATTCAAATTCTTGAATAAATAATATGTACGAATTTGTTTATCAAAAACAAATTAAAACAAATACTGGATACATTCGTTTAACTTTCATTGCCGACAAAGACCTTCCCATGCATGTGCAACGTGCTCGTAGTGGTCAATCGATACGTTATTTTGCGCGTGTGTTAGGAACAAGGGAAAAATGAATAAAACAGTACTCGGTTAATTGGAATCGTCGAATCGTCTTTCATTTATCGTACTGTCTCTAAATTTCGAACGACTAGTACTCGCTTTGCTATTTGACAATTTTTTTTATCCTCTAGGATTGTTCTATTTTTTTCAAATGTCAATGACTAATCCACGACTCGAATCGCGAACAAATATTCATAGTTCAAATGATACGACACAATCGTCACCGGATCGATAGCATTTTGTTTCGGTTCGAATCCCCAAAAGTTTGTGGATCGTCTGTCTGTTTAATCTGTCCATTATCGAGGTGGAAAATCGTTAACTTGGAATTTTCTTTTTTCTTTGTACAACAGTGGTGCCGGATCCAAGGTTCTCGTAAGCAATTTTCCAAGTCACGCCAAATTGGAGGATCTCGAGTTGCTGTTTTCGAACTGCGGTCAAGTGCAGTCCATCGAGAAGTTGTCATCGCGTGATCCTAACACACAAACCGCCCTCGTTAGCTATGAGACGCAAGAACAAGCACAGCTGTAAGTAAACCACTTCTTTACAGTTCGATATTCCGGGCGCGATCGTTTGCTTGACGCCAAGATTCTGTGTCGCGATAACAACTATTCCGAATTTCTGTTTCGAGTCACCACGTTACCTGTAAATATGTGGAATATAGCACCAGCTCCAAATTCTTTATCAGTGCTCTATCGTTCGATGATAGTATTCCCTACAGTGAGTCACGATTGTAAAAGTTTGGAAGACGCTACACCAGATATACCGCGCGCCACTCTCACTCGCGCGAGACGTTTCCCGCGTTTGTTTTATAAATGAGCTTCGAGACGTTTCACGGGACTTTTTCTCCGTCACGTAGGGCTGTGAACGAGTTTAATGACCACGAGTACGGCGGTAACGTGCTAAAAGTGGAAATGTCTACGGCGGAGAGCCGACGAAGAGGCCGCAGCCAGCGCAGCGGCGTCGCCTACTCCGGAGTTTCGGGTTCCGGACGACAGACGGACTTTCCGCTTCGCATTCTCGTACAATCTGACATGGTAGGGGCCATAATCGGTCGCCAGGGGTCCACTATACGTCAGATTACACAGATGACACGCGCACGTGTGGATGTTCATCGGAAGGACAACGTCGGTTCCCTGGAGAAAGCCATCACCATCTATGGCAATCCAGAAAATTGCACGAACGCCTGCAAAAAGATCCTGGAGGTCATGCAGCAGGAGGCTAACAGCATAAACAAGAGGTAAGCACTGCGAGGAGCTGGACAGAAAATGTTATATTTGGTGTGTCCCACCAAGACGAAATAGTAACGTTATTGTATCCTCGTTGCAGCACCGAGATCACTCTGAAGATCCTCGCACACAACAACTTGATCGGACGAATAATCGGAAAGGGTGGCACCACGATCAAGCGAATCATGCAAGACACGGACACAAAGATCACCGTGAGCAGTATTAACGATATCAACAGTTTTAATCTCGAGCGCATAATCACAGTTAAGGGCACCATCGACAATATGAGCAAGGCTGAATCCATGATCTCCAGTAAACTTCGCCAGAGCTACGAGAACGATTTACAGGCAATGGCTGTGAGTGTTGCGACAGAAAAGAAGATTTGAAGAATTCGAGAATTTGCGAATCGCGGGTGACGAAGGAATGTTTCTGTTACAGCCACAAAGCATGATGTTCCCCGGCCTGCACCCGATGGCCATGATGTCCACCGCTGGTATGGGATACAGCTCACGTGGTCCCGGCTTGTATGGCTCCGGACCTGCCCCATATCCTTACCAGGCTAGCTTGCCAACTCAACAGGGTGTTCCAGCTGCCGACACTCAGGAAACTGCCTTCCTTTACATTCCTAACAGTAGCGTAGGCGCCATTATCGGTACCAAGGGTTCCCACATTAGAAACATCATCAGATTTTCCGGAGCTAGCGTGAAAATCGCACCGCTCGAACAGGACAAACCAGCGGAGCAACAAACCGAAAGGAAAGTGACTATCGTCGGTTCGCCAGAATCTCAATGGAAGGTAAGATTCGTTGTTTAAAGAAAAAGAGGTTGTTTTCATTTATAAATTATAATTTTATTAACCTTCTCCTCGAGATAATGAACGATAAAACACGTGACGGTAGTTGGATCAATAATCAAATACATAAATTGTGAATATGTTGATCTAACTAACGTCCAAGTCTTGGAGCCCTCCGTGGCTCGGTGACTCGGGCGCTTGTCTTCGATTCTCGAGGTCTCGAGTTCGATTCCCCACCTTGAGGAAATATTTTTCTATCGATCTTTTCCGATAGACTTATATCTAGATAATAAACCCTGTCAATGTTTGAGTTGATGTCGTTCTATAAGCATCGATTTTGATGTAGCAGGGATAGTAAAATACCGAAGGGCTTACCCGTACCAATGCCACATTAATAATTGTGTTTAGTTGGTCCCGTTGCAACCTTCGACACATTTTTTTTTATTATTATTAATCCAAGTAGCCTTATGAAATTTAGTAGATGTGTTCGGCGTTTCGTCATTTGTGCGATTTGTTTCGTTTTTCAGGCGCAGTATTTGATCTTTGAGAAAATGCGCGAGGAAGGATTCGTTTCCGGGTCCGATGACGTCAGACTGACAATCGAAATTTTGGTACCAAGCGCTCAAGTTGGCCGAATCATCGGCAAAGGCGGACAAAATGTTAGAGAATTGCAACGTGTAACTGGAAGTGTCATTAAGCTATCGGAACAACAATCAGCATCTCCTTCTGCCGACGAAGAGGCCACCGTCCATATAATTGGCCCCTTCTTCTCTGTACAGGTAACGACCATTCTCAACCTGATCGATTGTAACTTCAATTTCATTCATACTTCGTTAATTCAGTTATCATAAATAAAACTTGAATTGTCGTCCGTACCACTGTCATTGAAAGATTGATCGATCAATTGTTTAATGTAAACAGTCACACATGTGTATACCACGCTTCAACAGAAATAAGCATTTCAAAGAAAAGTCCGGGAATCGCATTACTCGTATCTATATAGCCTTTTCGATGAACGCACAAGGCGACTTTAATTTTAAATAATTTTCTTTTCGATCATCTTTACAATCCTTGGAACGACACTGGCCACCATGCGTGGATGACACAAAAGTCGAGGCGTTAACGACGGGAAATCGATGGACTCAATAAGATACATAAATTCTCATTTTCGTCTGTTCACAGTCGGCACAGAGAAGAATTCGCTCTATGGTCCTGCAGTCTGGTGCACCTGGAGCAGGTGCTGGCTCGCGCGCTGGTCGTGGTAGCAGCCAAGAAGGTGGTTCCCGTACCCGAAGAGACGGAAGCGCCACGTCTCAACAAGGTGGCACAACGACGCAACAGCATTCGGCTCAGCAGCAATCGAGCTCCTCGCCATCCAGCCAGCAACAACCACAAAATCAGTAACGTCACTGAAACTTACCTGACGCCGACCAACGCCTCACAGAATCCGTTTTATTCGCCGGGGTGGCCTCGTCGCTTTGACATTCTCTCGTCATGAGGCTACGTGCAACCTCCTTCTCGCGGGGCACGTATCCTTCAGAGATTCTCGCAGAGCGGCCGAGCGATGTGCAGGGAGAGGACGAAAGGCACACGCGAGCGCTTTCTATCGAGATTCGAGTAATCCATGCAATAGGAGCCGAGATATATATTCTTCAAAAAGATCATCCATTTGATTCGGTAACGGGTAAGAGAGAGGGGCTACGGTCGATGGCGTTACTTTATGTTGTTACTATTATTCCTTTTGTTTGCATTTTTTTTTTCTCCTTTTTAATTCGCGCAAGTACACCGAGACTGCCAAGCGCCACGTGTACTTGTCGCGATTTTTCGAGAACGCAGAGATATCGCGTAGCGTACCTTTTTATAGATGGGTTTTGCAGCGGGACATGTGAAAAATTATCATTGTTGACCGCATCGCCATCGATCGTGACCTAACGTCGCAACGAGTAACAACGCTCATAGTTCTACAAAGGCAATTAATAAGCGACGCGAGTACCGCATATGGAACCAGATGGAAGGTGCACACGTCATCTAACGAAAACGTGTCACGCGAGACGAGGTGAGAGAAAGAAAAAAAAAAAGTTCGGTACCTGTCCGTGTAGAGCAGAGACAACGCTAGAAAATTCCATTCTCTTTCGTGGCGACATACCCGTTCGCCAGACCGTACACATACATACACACATACACATACGCGCGCCCACACATGGTTTTCTCACCTCATCTACGCGAGTAGCGTAAACGTTTCGTTGCGAGTTCGGTCATTCAGGGGGGTTGAAACGACAGGTGAAAAACTCGAACGAATCGATTTCGCAGCGTTAACGAAACCACCTCGTCGATGAAACAGGATATATACTACGATGATAAGAAAAAAAAGCATACACAACCTTATTACCTCATTCATTACGGTTAAAGATTTAAATATGATAAAGAAAAGTGAAACGAGAGAAAGGATAAAAACCAACTAATCTACAAAAAAAAAAGAAAGAAGTCTACCTAATATTAAAGTTATAATAATATACAGAGAAGTTAAGTAACGATTACACATTACGTTATACATGTTACTACTACTACTACTACTGCTATTAACTACTACTCCTACTACTACTACTTACCTTCTGCTGCGTACTACAGAGAAAGGGGATTTTCTTTTTTTTTTCGTTTTTTTTTTTTTTTTTTTTAAAAAGGGAAAATGAAAGGAACTACTTACTCTAGGTACAGTCTTTTTATATCACACAGCACAGAGACAATTTAAACAAACGAAGATAGAGGAAAATACACACGCGCAAGCAAAATGAAATATAAACGAGACTTAATCGAAAGAATGTGAGCGAAAACGTGACACGTTCTACAGTTTAGACGTAAGCCAGGATATTTCTGACGCCTCTCGGCCCCCCGCGGTCCCGCTCTGAGCCCCTCTCGCGCCGTAATACCAAAGAAGCGATTATGAAGTTTTTTTCGTATTAGTGAAGTGACAAAATGCGTGACACGCTGCACTCGCCTCAAGTTCCTTGCAAGAGCCAACAGTGAGAGGGGTCAGAGGACGCACGCGTCTGCGGGGAAGAATCGACGAGTGGTTATCGACGTCGGACACACGCCCCGGAAGGAAGGAAACCGACGAAAGAACGTCATCGGGTCGCTTTGACGAAAAAAAGATAGTGATTGGATAGAGAGAAAGAGCGGAAGTGAGTAGAAGAGAAAGTGGAAGGGAATCGGACGTTCGAGGAATACAGAATAAGCATTCGAGACGGCCGCGCTGTTGTTTCGTGCTACGAGAAGGATGTTCGAGAGAGAATGAAAAAGCGACCGTTGGCACGCACGAGGAAGTTAGCGAACCGCTAGAGCGAAGAGAGTGGACAAGAGAGACGTATAGAAAGGGGGGAAGAAAAAGGAATGGAAATGGAAGCAAGGCCACAAAACTTTTTCAGGGATTTTTACTTTACCATGGATGTAATAGTGTGTGAGTGTGCGTGTGTTGAATAATACTATTAATTGATAAGTGATTAATTACTGATTAGGGCGTATATACGGCAAAGGGAAGCGCGAGATAGAGACAGATGATTTAGAGATTTAGGCTTAATCGAGGAAAGGAACACGGGAGTAATTAAGTATTGGGAGGGGAAGAGCGATACTTTGACGAGTATACGGTGTGTGTATCTCGTGACGATCGTGTGCCGCTCTTCGCCTCGTGGTGCGCGAGCATGCGTATCGCCAGCGAGTTCCTTTCAAATTATTGTATAAGATAATAGTTGCGAGAAATTGAGAACGTACCGACGACTTTCAGACAACCAAACCGTTTAGTCAAGTTAAGCATCTCAATGAGAAACAGCGAAGCGATGAACACAGACTGTTTCGTCGAATCGAGGAGCGATCGACCAGGTATGCTTCCATATTGGTACGCTTCCCCATACCTTTTATTACTTTGACCAAGCTGTCACGCAATTGAAAGTCGTTGGTACCGCCCAAGCCGCTTAGGGTAGTTAAATCCGCGCGTCCACGAATTCCAAAAACACTCGCAGCGATACCGCGGCTCCAGGCACGGCCAATCGATCACGATCATTCCCACGCGACGAGTATTCGAGGAATTGATCATTTAAAAAAAGAAAAGAAAACAAAAAAAACGCGGAAAACTCGTGACCGATTGCGCACGACTACGTAATTCTTTAAGTTCTGATCTAGGAAACCTACAAAGTACGAGGATACGGATAGTTCGCGCGTGCAACGTATGGGCAGGAAAGCGTTTTCAATCGTAAACGGAAAGATCGATCGCGTAAGAGATATTTAAGAGGAAAAAATGGAAACTAATGGCTCGGGACTAGAGTAGAGAGAAGGACTTTACACGATTATGGGACTTGGGGGAAGTCGATGAAACCAACCGGACAGGCGAGGTCCTGTTCGGTGATCTATCAATGCGACCAAAAAGAAGATAAAATTAACGGACTGACGAGACGCGCGATCGCCCGCCACGTTCTTTGCAAAATCGACTGCTTTGTTTCGAAGCAATTAGGCAAACGCGTGGAATTTAACGTTAACCCTCTATTGATGTTCACGATGTTTGATAGTCCTGCAGACTAGCACATTCGTTCACGATCATATAAATACCATCCGTGCAATAGAGGGTGGTACTTTCGTATTTACATTCTAACATTGGTCCATCGTCGACGATCCAATTGTGGTTAATTTCGCAAACGAACGTGGCGCGTCTTCGACGCTCAACTTAGAACGCTGAATCCCTTGTTTGGGGTTTTGCGTCCGACGCGCGCGACGATCGCTTCCGGTTCACGGAGGATCGTCGAGCGTCGGTTCAATTCACGGCATTCGGTATGCGTTTAGTACAAAAATACACGAGTTTAGAAAGCGGGTGGGAATGAATTAATCCAGTTTTGCGAGTGAACCGTGTAGAAACAGGAGGGAAAGATATATCGCGTGTTACAGTTTTTTGTTTATCGAGGAAGAATAGAGAGAGAGATAAAGGGAGAGATTGAAAAGCGAGAAACTTCCGAGAGTGCACGAATATCGTACCCGGTGACTGATATCGGGAAAGATACTCGGAGGTGAACAAAAAAGGCAGAGTTGCTTTTGCCTTGCTCGCGTTTTTTCGCTGCGCACTCGAGGAGTGCATGGAACGAAGTCATGATAAATGGGAAACGAAGGAAGTGCAAGCTAGCAAGAAACGTGGAGGGAAAGTGAAACACCAGATTCGAAGCAAAAAACGAAACAAAAGACGATTTTTAAAGAGAGAAATAGAGAGAGCGTGGAATGGAATAGACGAGAGAGAATAACGACGCGAGAGTATAAAAATGGGATGGGGAAAGATGAGAAAAGAAAATGAATCTAAGAGTATAAGTTTATTTTTGATACATTGTTGGGGAGATCTAAGTGAATCTTTCTTTTTCAATTTTTTTGTTAGATGTTTTTAATAACTTAATGAATTTTAACGATATTGAAAGCGTGGCGCGAGGATGCGAAGGCGAAAACAAGTTTTTTAATAGAGATAAGAGATAAAGAGAATCGCGAAGGAAGAAGCGGAGAAGCGAGAGCGAAGTGTTTTTCGTAAAAAAAAAAACAAAAAAAGATGAAACGAGGAAAGAGTAAATAATTTAAAGAGTAACGATTTAAAAAAAAAAAAATAATAATAATAAAAATAAAATAAAAAAAATGATGGGAAGTGGATGTGGTGGAAGAATTTAAAGAGGACGGCGCGCAGCTTTTTGCGCTGTGCGCGTCTGTCGCTCGCCAGGGGGGAATAAAGGAGATTTTAGTCGGATAAATTGTATAATATATTTAATATATTTGGAGGAAAACGGGGGCGCCCGGGTCCGCTCGGCGCGGACGTCACTGCGACGGCTGGCGACAGGACGATCGGGCTCGCAGTTTTATGCGACGCGATTTTTCGTCGATGTCGCCGCCTGGGAAAGCCTTCCTCGCCCGCAGGCCCTCGCTTCCGTGTTTATTTATCGAGCGTAAATATTTAATGAAAAAAAAAAAAAAAAGTAATAACGAAAGGATGAATAACATTCGTAGAAACGAAGAAAACGATGAAAGTGCCAAGGAACAAAAACAGTATGCATACGTAGAAAAGAATTCAGCAAACAAATCAGTTAATCGTAGAAGCAAAACCCATAGAACAACAAAAGGAACACCGCACTGCACAACACCCACAGAAAGATCAAGATCGCGCGGAGAAACATCTATATATCACCGCTACAACAACAACAGCAAAAGAACATTCGCCTTCACCGCTACGAGATAAATCATTTACGCTACTTCGAGAATATCACTCGACGCTCCTTTTTCCTGAAACGATGCGCGCAACCGCGTTCGAACAAATTGTTTTTTTCGGCCGAAACAAGTCCAGAAGAAAAAAAAAAAACAACAGACAAACGCCCAGAGGGAACGAAGGAATTACGGAAAACAGAGACGCACGTCGCGAGTACGAAATACAGTCGCTCTTTCCACAGAATTTCGTTGTGGGAGACATCCATCCAACAGCGAAAATCATCGCCACCCCTCCCCCCTTTTCGGAATATCTCTTTATATTTGTCTAAAGAAGGAAAAAAAAAAACAACGTAAAAAATCTAAAAAAAAAAAAAAATGCACGGAGGTAATTAAAAAGTTCGCGATCCGTAATCTGCCCCGCACCGTGAATCTTTTCACACCTTTCGCTCGTTCATCGATCTTTGATTCATTTTTTTCGTTGCGCCAATTCTTGGAACGAAATTTCAACGATAAGAAGATAAGAAGCGGAAGAAAAATGAAATCCGGAGTCTCAGTAGTACAGGAAGAAAGAAAAGGAAGACACCCCCCAAGACTTCAAGGCTCGCTCACAGTCAGTTCTTGCGCTCCATCGCCGATGAAGATTAAATGGAAACGAGGAACAAAAATATACGTTCAGTCAGCGAAAGCTAAACGCAACAGAAAAGAAGACAAAAAAAAAAAAAAGGCGGAAACAAACGGAAACGTAGAAAAAAGGCAACGTTTACAACCCTGTCAGAACGCAAACGTGGAAAAGAAAAGGAAAACGAGGCAAGAACTACCTTTTTTGGCTAATTCCTCGGCACCAGCACTTCTAAACGCCGAGAATGGAGAGAATGGAAAAAGATTGAAGAGATTTCGGAGGAGACTGTGGCAAGCTCGCTCGCACGCACGGGAGAATGTACAAATCAAACAAGGTAACAAAAAAATGAAAAAATGAAAAGATTAAATAGAAATTATTAATATAATAACGATTAACTTAAATGAAAGAGATGAAGATTTTTAACGTTATAAATTATTATGCGCGCGAATTAAGACGGTGAGGAGTAACTTAATCTACTTGGATAAGGAATACCAACAAAAAACGAATGTACAAAATCGATTTATCGCTAAATCTAAATGTTAGTATTCTAGAATATTTTACCGTGAGAGAAGTAAAGAAAAAAAAAAAAAATAAGATCGTGCTTATCGATTAGAATTGAGGAAAATTAAAGTAAGCTCGGCGCTTAAGTTTTAAGATTATGCATGTATCCCGCGGAACGAGGAGAGAGAGTGAGAGAGTGACCACAAAAAAAAAATGATAAGATCGTATCGAGCATCGGATTTCAAAAGAGGAACCAAAACGTTGAAAAAGAAAAAAAAAAGAAAAAGACACCGTCGACAAAGGGAACGAAAACCAATCTTTCTTATCGAAGCAACGAAAAGCGTGCAAGCCTCGACGAAAGGAACAAAAAAAAAAGGCTTCTTTTTCTACGAACGTCCAATATCGTCGACGTATCTCCCGACGACTGTTAAGCTCTATCGACCTTTTTTATCACGTTCTTACCAACCGTTTATATAAGATAGCGAGATCTTTTGTACGTTTTTTACGGTAAGATATTTCATAACGCTCTTCTCGCCAAAGAAGAAGAAACGATGATCCCCTTCCGATGAGGTTGAAATTTTCGCGCACCGAGACAACAGCAACGACAGCAACCAAAACTCACGCGGAGAGACCGTTGCGGTGGACGAGAGGACGAGATCCCAGTGCCACGTGTCGCGGTAAGAAAGAAGAGCGCGCAGGATGCAACACAAAACCACAAAAGAAATCGCCGAAATTCAAGTGGAACAATCCACGCGTCTAACGCGTAACAGCTACGCGATTCGCGGCAAAACTTTCGATGGAAAACCAAAAAAAAAATTATAAACCTCCCCCCAAAAAAAAATGAGAAAAAAAAAGAAATAATGGCAAAAGGAGAAAGTAAAAGGGAAAACGACTCCAAGACGAGAAAGACACAGATCCAAGCGTCCGCCTCACGACGAGGCGGTCCTAGACAAAACGAAAAAAAATCTTCCATTTCCGCAACACGATCGCAGATGATCCGGTCAGAGACATCTCTCTTACAGTTCGATCAGCCACGGTTAGGATCAGCATATCCGCTCGACGCGAACGTTGGCGAAGATAGCAAACGATTAATTGAAACGATAAAAGAAAAAAAAATGAAGAAAAACGCTCACGCACACACACACATGCGCGTATATACACTCTCAGAGGACAGACGAGAACGAAAAAATAAAGTTTCGCACACACACGCACACAATTTCCGACGAGAAACTTGGAAAAATTGTAGGAGTCCCCCTCCGCACGTGGAGATTCCCAAAAGTAATTCTCAGTTTTGCTTTTCGAATGCTTTACCGTCGTCGAACGTCTACACAGCAAAAAACATCGCCGTCTTGTATCGTCGCTCGAGTAGACAGGGCAGCGCAACAAGAAATCCTGTTTGCGGGCACAGTCGAACAATGGAGAAAGAAAAATTCGTTGCATATGTAAAAATACAAACGCGCACATCGATACACGCAGAACAGATACACATCGTCGTTCAACGACGAGGAAATAAAATATCAGAAAGGGGTGTGTTCACCGCACCGACGTCAGCTGATAACACATTAAAACGGAAATCACATGAATCACGCTGAAGGGATCGACGCCGACGCGATCGGTTCGTTTCGTTATCGATCTACACGATCCTCTACACTGTAAGCATATATATAAATATAAATATATATATATATATATACATTCGCGGACGATTTCGTGGATCGTCACGCGTGAAACTTAACAATAGCAAACGATGCGAATATACGAAGCGACCTCGGGGTACGAGGATCAAGAATTGTTGATCGCTCCGCCCCCTCCCCGTCGTCGCGACCACACAGCAGGTTAACAGCACTTCTTTTTCTTTATTAATATTTAATAGTGATAAATGAATAGTAAATAGTGGTAAGGGATAATAATTATCGGAGACGACTTCAACATTAATCGTTGGCGCTTCGGAGCAACCCCGAGGCGACGATTATTATTTTTGTCGTTCGCGGAGAAGACAAGAGGATCGCGCGCGTATTTAGAGCAGGAAACAAGAAAGAGAGAGTGAGTAGGGGAACAGACACCGACAAACGAATGGTGGTAGATTATTTTGGGCTTTAGTATTAGTATTTCGAGATAGATAATGCATCGCGATCAGACCGCCCGGCGAGGGGGAGACTGATACAGGTCTACGCGTTTCGTTTCAGAGAGATTACTCGGATTTTCCGTTTTGGGAACAGTCATCGGGTAGAGTCGACTGGCATCGACCAACACCTCGGAGACCATCGTTCGTTGGAAGGTGCGACAAACGTCTCGCGGAAACGAAACGCGCCCGGATACGGGAGGTGTCGACTGGTCCTCGAACAGGGATGATCTAAATTCTTGTTTCTCCAACGACAGATTAATTCATTAAATAACAAAATTTATCTGGATACACCGATACCAAATATCGTAAAATTATCGAGTCCTAAAGTTGATATAAATCTCACGTTCCATTAATAGTCCGAAGAAGTTAATTAAATTCAATCGAATTCTCTCGGGTGCAGCACTGTGATCAGTCGACGTCTCGCGTGATCGTGATCACGGGGCTGAAAGTTCGTATTCTGGATCCGAGGGAAACGGTTCTGAACCGAGTACGCGGCGGTAAACGAGGGCCTTATTGTATACAGTTGGGCATTGTTAATGTGACAGGTTCAAGTGATATCGCTAAACAGATAATATATCGGATAAGCTTAGGGCGTGGCGCTTCAGTGGACGATAATGGTTCGCGAAAGGGTGAGAAAGCGTGTGAATGTGCGACTACAGAGCGAATGCCGAGAGAATGGGACGATGAAAGATGGAAGACGGAATGAAACATAATCTAATCGTAAGGTGATCTAAACGGAGTTAGGAAGCTAGAGTGAGAGACAGATTAAGAGAAAACAAAACGAGAGAGAAACGAGAGTAAGAGTTGGTGACGCGTTTTGACGAAGTCTTAATATATTATCTATTATTATCCTATTGTTGCCAATAATGGGCATTATGAGAAAACCGCGCGGGTATGTAACTTATTCTCTACACTGCATTTACACTCCCCGAAAAACCCCAACCCCCCTCCCCTCCCCCAGAAGACCTTGTATACATATAGTAAACACATATATACACTATACACTTGTTGTACATAGATATATATTATATGTAAAGCTTAAACTTATTAACGGAACAGATTATAGTCGATGTGCACCGGATTATAGATGACGCAAAAAAAAAAAAAAAGAAGGAAAAAACCCGTGAAAAATAGAACCGTTCGTCGCGTATGCGTGATTAGAGCGAATGAAGTGTTTCTTGTTTAGGTGCGCGAGCGTCGTTATATATATATATATATATGCTGCAGTTTTTCTTTTCTTTTCTTTTTTGTTTTTGTTTTCTCCGTTTTAAATATAGAAGATAAAAGATTTCGACGATCGATATCGCCGCGCCGTCGTCGTGCTCGTCTCGTATTTTGCTACGTTTATACATAGAACCGATAGCTGTGTCGTTCAATCATCGACGATCCCACGGATCGATGAAATCCTCGATCAAACGGCAACAAATCGTTCTCACACTGCCAGCGAGACGAGACGCGAACGGTCGCGCGAGTTAAAGATGAAAGAGGAAGAGACGATAAAGATGAAAAGAGGGACAAAAAAAACGAAAGGAAAAGAGGAAGTCGAGTGTCGTTGGTGTTCAGAGAGCTTCGGTGTGCTGTCATATCGGTGCTCTCACCTGTGTTGAGAAACCCAGTCGCGAGTTGGGACACGAGATATGAGTAATACTAAAACCCAAAATAGCCGTTTCCGGGAGTTCGGCCAATCGAGATGGAATGTCTACACACACTAGACGGGTGGGAAAAAACGAGGCACACGTTCAACCTGGGAAACATGTTACAGGATGAACGGTGGTACAGTGGAAAAGGAAGTTTCTTTTCGGTTCGTTCGTTACCCCCGATACAAGTTGCGCGGAACAAGTTCGCGCCTTATCAGAGATGGGCATCACGGACAAAATTTCTCGATAACGAATCAAGGATAAACGAAACTTTATCCTTCGTTCGTTCGACGACGATTGCAATCTGAGCTCTACAATTACGAATGAAAATGTATAAAAATATTGTACTATACTGTTCCAGTTGAAGTTTGCCCATCTCTGGTTTCCACTCGGATAAGCGATGGATAACGCGAGCAGAAAAGAAAAAAACACGTGAAAAACATACCAAAAACAAAAAAAAAGAAAAAAGAAAAAAGAAAGAGGAGATTCGTATATGCATAGTTGCTCGCGTTTCCCTTGCTATCCCTGGGAGACGGGCTGATTTAAAAGCCACGGAGTCATTGTGCGTCGTTTTAGGGTATAAGTATTGTTCGCTGATCCTGTGAGAAGCTCGGTTTTAAATCTTTTTATTTGGTTGTCCTTTATCGCCCGTTGATTCGTTAGTTTCGCGTTCCTTTGTTGGCGCGGTAATTTTATCTATTTCTTTTTTTTTTTATTTTTACAATTTAATTATACAGATGTTTATACGCGTTCTTCGTTTTCCTGTTCGATTTACACGTTTTGTTTCGCAACGACATATCCACGTTCGTGAATGTCGTTCTGTTAACCCATGTATACCCGCACACGCACGTACACCACTTTTGTTACACACGCAGGACACAGATACATATCCTACGCACGCACACAGGACACCAAGAGGCACCCAGCCACCCAGAGAACAAGATCGTTGGAACGAAAAGTACATTCGAAAAATCACGGGAAACTGGTAGCGTACGGTCAGGTCAAAAGCTCGACTTGAGCATGCACGATGTACATCCTGGCGACGCAAGACAACTTTGAACAGCTTGCCGATCGCGGGACCACGTTAGCCACGCAACTTGCGAAGATACTATCGCTCTTAGATCGCTCGACAACTTGCACGATTCTAATTTATTATCCTTTGCTCGCCAGGACTCGTTCTCGACCAAAGAACGATAGGTCCACCTTGACAGCCAGATGAGAACCTTTCGTAACGAACGTGAGTAGGCAAAAAATTGTGCTTTTCTCGGGACCGAGTATTGGAAACGTCAAGAAACGTGCTTGTACGAACGGGTAACGCGATGGAACCGAGAAGGTAGACGGATCTTGCTTATGGAAACGGAGAGATTATCGACAATCGTCATCGTCATCATCAGTTCGACAGCGAAGAGTGGACAGCTATTCGTTTTTATATTGTGTATTCTATACGTTAGAGCATAGAGAGTAACAACGGGATTAATTAAAGAAGAAAAAGAAGTCGGTGCCACTTCTAACCCCCAAAACAATCGTTATACATGTACACGCACCAAGCGCAAGAGATAGAGAAAAATATATCTACGCAGCCCGCAACACACACACGCATGCCATATATATATGTAAAAATATATAAATATACGTACATTATTATACGCACGCCGAGGATGGTATGGGATTAATCACGAAAGCGTAGACCGAGGATGATAGGAGAAATAACGTGTGTGACGTTTAACGAAGGACGAGTGAAGAGAAGAAGTGAACAGGCGGGAAGAAAGAAAGAAACGGACATCCATATTATGTACGATGGTTGCACGCATAACGGACTTAATAAAATAATTAAAATAATCACGCAACGGAAACAATGAAAAATAAAATAGAACGGCACACGACGCCGTTTGCGCGAAACCAGGTCGCTGCAAAGAAAAAGAAAAACAAGTAAGTGGAAAAAAAAAAGATACGATAAATATTCGAGCAGACGAATCGAGGGAAGGACTACGAATTAATAAAATGCAAAACATGAAATATATATACATATATATGTCGATCATAAAGCAAGAAAACAAGCGACACAAGATGTTACTTCTTGGATGATAACACACGTGCTTGAAATGGAAAACACTAATTTTCTTGAATAAATAATAAATATAGAGGTTGCGCATTGCCGACGGAGACAACCTCCGCGCTTGCATTTGCTTCGCACTCGCTACGTTGGGTATAATAATTTTTTTTTTTTTGTTTTAATTTTTGCGCTACCGCGGGGCTCGCCACCCTTCGTCACTCCGACCGTCTCGATTTGTATTTCCGGTTCGATCATTGACTAAGAGAGACAAAGAGGGTGTTGATAAAAATCGAGGAGAAAAGTAATGGAAACTGACGCGTTACAAAAAAAAAAAAAAAAAAAAGAAGGAATCAGTTTCGCGAAATTTGCGCACGGTTTTCGATGGACGAGGCGTGACGAAGGCCAGCCCCCCATGATTACGATAATTTCACCGTAATTAATTCATTTTTTGTCTACTTTAGTTTATTTTAATTGCTACTATTCTACTATAAAAAAAAAAAACTTCTACTATATAATCGCTTACCACTATCAAATACTTTACTACTATTACTACTATATGATTACTACTACACTACTACTATTACTATCTATTACTACTACTACCGCTATGTATTTTTGTGTCTTCGATGATTTGATGATTTTTTTTTTTTTTTTGCTATATTCGTGAATTCCGTATGAGATGCATACACGACAAAATACAAAAAAAAAAACTCGTTCTTTTTTCTTGGTCCGAGGAACTCGTACTTTCGAGATGATAGCTACCAGAAGTAAAGATTTCATACCTAAATTTTTCTTTTCTTTTTTGCCATCGTTCGATACACTTAACGCGATATATTGTCAATACCTCCGGTGTGTTTTCTTTTTTGGTTTTTATTTATTTTTTTTTGTTTGCTTTCTGGAATTTGGAAATTGGGGAAGGATACATGTTTACTCGAGCGGAAACGTGAAACGATCGCTGGTAACTATCGATATTTTTGGCGAACGGACGAGAAACAAAAAGAGGAAACGGTTTAATAAGATATGGCGTATACTAATAATAATAATAATAATAATAATAATAATAATAATAATAATAATAATAATCTTGATAGTAATAATAACGATAATTCTAATTGTATTATAAAATTGCTAATCGCGAGTATGAAATCGACACAGTGGTAGGATAACCGAGTTTCTGAATTGCATGCGAAGGCACTAGAAAAAGAAAAAAAAAATAACGGGAGGTCGACGTAGATCGAGGGGGGAGGGGAGAAAAGAAATTTCAGAAATAGAAAAATGTTGCGAGTTTTCTATCGAACGATTTATTTTTTTTTTTTTTTTTTTTTTTTTTTTTTAAGCAATCGCTCTTTCCGCGTTAAACTCCGACAGAAAAATTTGTTGCGTCGTCGCGTTTCAGTTCTTTTCCTCGGGATTTCGGTTGTTGTTCTATGTTTTATCATTATTATTCGGCACATATTATCTTTTTAACTCCATCTTTTCCCCGGGTAATTTCTTTGTTTTCTTTTACTATATTATGGCTTTGGTAGAATCGATAAATTCTATATTATCGTGTATTTATTTTTTTTTTTGTTTTTAATCGGTCGAATTGCTAACCTTTTCAAACTTCACCCTCTCACACGAACATACACACATACACGCGCACGTACATAACACACACGCGTACACATACGGCGCATAAAATGCTTTTCGATCGAGAAGGGAGAGAAGAAAAATCTATGGTGTTTTTAGTGGATAATATTTAAAGTTTAAACTACATACTATATGGATAATCATTAAGTACACAAAGCATAGAGGTTAAAGTACATAGGCATGTAAGGCAGGAAAAATAATTATTTAGCGGGCCGCTTCCCTCCAGACGCCAAATTTCTGCTCGTTGGAGTTCTCCACTCGGCCCAGGAAAGGGAGAAAACGCACGCACACATTTTCTCGAGGTTTTTCGGCAATTTCGACGAAAGGATCGTATCAATGAAGAAAATGAAAGAAATTCAAAATTTTCAACGTTTCGAGATGGTGGAGGAAATGAAAAGAAATGGAAGAAAACTTTCTCGTTTCTCTCCTGGAGGGAGAGCACCCGCTAAACGCGTTTGGTTTTAAAATTAGTAGATGAACGTGAGGAATTGGCCTGTATCATTTGGAAACGAAAGAAAAGACCGAAAGAAGAAACCGATCGATCAACGAGAATCGGAGAACATACGAAGAGAATAACGGATCAGAGAACGAAAGAGAATAATGATGAAAGCGTGACGGGAAAGGGAGAATAGAAGTGACATGAAAGGAAGAAATAGAGCCGTGCGTGTAAACGGAAAATAAGACGAAATGGAAGCTGTGATGTTACATTTTTTTTTTTCTTGGTTCACGTGCACACATCATAGATCGACACGCGCGAACGCGCATCTTTTCCGAGCGAGAAATCCGTCAGCACACCGCCAACACAGCAATTGCATATGATGCACACGCGTATACGAATGTATAAATATATATATGAACATAACATACACAGGACGAATACGTATAAATAGAAAGAACAGGTCGCAGGAAGAAGAAAAAACGAGAGGTAACGATAACCGGAAATAGATACGTAAGGAATACGCGGAAGGAAGGAAAAATGATGTAGAGAAAGTGGACCGATTCTCTCCGCCTGTAATAAGCCGTTTAAGAGTTTATTAAACGAACCAGATTTACCATAGAAAGCTATATCATATAAATATAAATATAAATATATATATATATAAATAAATATATATATATATAGATATTATTTATATATCTCTACACCGTAATACGTCATATATATTTTGTCAATTTTTTCTTTGTTTTTAAGCTATAAAATAGTATCGCAGAGGAAAAAAGAGATACAAATAGATAGAGCGAGAAAAAGGGAGAATTAGTTAGAACAGTGACACGTGAATGATGGAAGAGGAGATTAACGCATAAGGATGCGAAGAGTAACGATGTGTAGAGAGAAAGAAAGACGTAACAATACGGAAACCGAATGGCATTTATAGGTACCTATTATTAAATAACGTATAGTAAGATTTTAACAATGTTCGCAGAGTGTCCAACAAGAGTCTTTCTTCGATCTTTTTCTCCGACAATTTTGTTTTTTTTTTTTTTTTTTAATTTTTTTTTTACGAATAATGAACGTCGCTGTTGAACGATATACGCAGTACATTTTTACATGATCGACGCGCGCCGTCGACGAGACGGTTAGCGCGTCGACGTATCGATACAAATCATTAAGTGCAATAGTTGTTACAATAGACACCAACACGGGAATTTTTAAGGGCGTCGTCGCCCCGCCCCCCACACAATACTACCTCGCAAATTTCAGAGCTACAAGCAGATAACACACCGTACCTTAATTACATGCATATTAACAATAATTAACGCAGAAAAAAAGTAGTCTTATCCAGTGACAGGAAGATTGGAACAATAATTAAGCGATGATGAGAGGATACAGGGAACGTATCAGAGAGGGATCAATAGACGATATGCCACGTTTCGGTTGCCGGAATAACTTTTTGTATTGTTGTTTTTTTTCTTCTAAAATAATTCTTCCCAAATCACGTTGCAAAATAATATTCGAACGCGCACGGAATTTCTGTTCGATCGTGATAAGGCGCGGATAATGGAAGCAAACCAGCTAACCCATCGCGTCGATCGTTTTCTTTTTCCTGTTGGATCTCTTTCGTTGACAGCTTCGAACAATTGCGCTGTTATCGATCAATCGATGCGCAGCGTTCACGGTTTCTTTTCGTTCGAACCGTTTTCCAAGTTTCTTTCGGCTCGTTTCGACGACGAGACGTGGATGAGTTTGGGAAGCAACAAATAGAGGGACGGTTTGCTGGTTAAAAAGAGAGAGATTGAGAGAAACGTACAGCAACCGTAAGGAAACATCGCGACAGTTTAATCGAGCAGAAGAGCCCCCCCAGAAAATCCCGCCCCCAAACCCCCTCCCCTTTCATACACAATAGGAAATAGTTAAACGTGAAATAGTGATGATAAAACAATTATGAAATAGAATTATTGTGTTTGCGAGCTCTGTCGAGGGCTGAGAGTCCATATTCGGCGTCGAGGCTCGACCAAAACGGAGCTGCAATTTATTTTTCGCGTATTCGCTGGTCGCCCGTCGACGCGAATGAGGCTCTCCCTTCTGGATGTATATAGTGTGAAGTTGTTGGAATTTCTCATTTCTCGGGGACTCGATTCCTCTTGCGCGTTTTCCGTGACCATGTCTGCGTTCCCCACAGCGTCTTCGAAGATCTGGTCGGACACGAAGCTCGACGAACGAGGAAATACTATGTCAATTTCAGGATACAGAAATGGGCGAAAGTATGTTCGAAGCTTTTCACACAACGCTCGAAAGTTACCTTATCCGTGACTCGAATGAAAATTGGAATACGTTAGCTATCGTTTGGATTCAAGTTTGCCCATCTCTGTAAATTGGAATCACCGTTTTCGATTGTCATCTTTGCCAGCGTCGAATGTAATAGTATGTGTTCGCCATTTCCTCAAATTGTAAACGCGTCACTGCCAGATCCTCACGTATCACCGTAACAACAATAAACGCGGCTCGTGTCACCAGTCTTCGTGCAGACGCGCGAACATTCGTGAATGTGATGCGCACAGGTCTCCTTTCCAGGACTTCTTTTCGGTACAATTTCTACGATATGAGAAAGGATATAATATAAATCATTCGACTGCGATCTTGGAAGAGCTAAGGTAACAAGTAGGAGCAATAATCGTTTGTTTCTTTTTCGAATCGTAGAAATTGACCCGAAGAGGAAACTTTTTGATGACTGGTAAAACTGGTCGTCGATCAGAGATATAAATGTATTTTATTTCTGCGCGAGAACCACGGACGAATATTTTTTTTCGCTGAGAATCTAAACGGGGTCGTGGAGATCGGCGGAAAATATCTGTCACCTAGGGGAAACTGTCCATGAGAAGTGAGAAACGACAGCCGTCAGAGCCGACAACCTGTTATATTTCGTCGCGTCGAATCGCTCGAGAGCGTCTCGAGTGTGGAGAATATAAAGAAAACTATAAATATAAAAACGAACGAGAACGAGCGCGAGAGAAGTTATACAAAGTCCCCGAAAAGCTGGGATTCCTCGCGATGGTTCGTTCCGCGGAGCTACGCTCGCGACGCGTCTCGGGCTCGGTAGACGACGATTTGTTATTATGCCGAAATCTGTTAGTTTTTTGTCCTACATATTTAGCGTTAAAATAGAATGGGAATAGTAGAAATGCCGTTGTGTTGCTTTTTGTCTCTTTTTTTTTTTCTTTTTTTATTTTGAAACGAAGAAGAAAATGTAAAAGTAATAATGACCGACGATTTCATCATCATCATCCGACATGTATACACCATGACTTGACATCATGACGCAGGAAGAATGGTTTTCAAGGATAACAAAAGAAACGTTGAAATATAAGAAAATAAACGGATACGTTAAAAGGGAAAATAATTCGACTCGCGCTCGAGAACGAAAAAAGCAAAAAGATACAGGAAAATTCGGGCGAGACGCCGCGCCGATTACGTGCGGCGCGTCTTTTATTTTTGAATTCTTTGTAACGCTCACGCGCCCGTCCAGCGTCGCTTTCCTTTTCGGGTGATAACGCGCGCGAACACTCCTTTTTGTTCGCGCATTCAAAATTGTTGTTATGGAAAAGAGAAAAGATAAGCGTGAAATTTGTGGAAAATCTAGACGAGAGTCAACTTTTGGATCTGCCTACTTTCGAGCGAAAAGAGAAAACGAAATTTCGATATCCGCTTCCTTCCCTTCGTCCCTCAGCAAAATTTGTCGCTTTTGATTACTATTAAATACTACTACTACTACTATTACTACTACTACTATTACTACTACTACGACTACTATTATTACTCTTATTATAATAATTATTACGATTAAGGAAAAACACACAAGGGGAACGAAGAGCGAGAAATCGACGCGAAGCGCGCGCGTGAGCGAGGATGCACCACAGTGATCCATCAGACGAGCAACACGCTCGACGTAAAACAATTCCTCACATGATAATTAAACGTGAAAAAAAAGTAATAATAATAAAACGTAAATAAATAAAAGTAATATTATAGATGAGAGAGAGAGAGAGAGCGAGCGAGAGAGAGAGAGAGTGTGTGTGTGTGCGTGTGTGTGTGTGTGAGAGAGAGAGAGAGAGAGAGAGAGAATGCGTGGAATGGAGTAATGGTGAAAACGAGAAAACAAAACGAACGATTTAAAAACGCAGCGAGAGACAGATTTTAAAAGGAAAAATAAGTAAAATAATCGGACACAAATTTTTATTAACTGTGTAAACTCTAATAAAAGTCTATTTGAATGTAAGCGCGTTAAACAGATAAAAAAGAAAAGATGAAAGAAGAAGCTATTAAGGAGAACAGTATATGAATATTATTATTAAAACGAGTGAATTAAATACAAAACGTCAAAAAAAAAAAAAACTAAAGTGAACGATACCGTAAGCAAGCAAAAAAAAAAAGAAAATGAATAACACTTTTCACGAGTAGATTTCAAGGAGACAAAGAGGACTTTTTCTTGATTCGTTTTTTTTTCTTTTGATTCATTATTAAGTTTGTTCGTAAGGTGTACTATGCGTTTAGATGCTAAACAGTCAAAGAAAAATGAAGTACGAGGAATCGAAAATCGATAGGTTTCCCGAGCTGAAAGGGGAAAAACACCCAGCTAGGACGTTTCACCGCGAGTCAGGAAACAAGAGAACAAAAAAGCAAGGAGATGGAAAAAAAGAGCGAAGAGTAGCCAGTGCAAAGATCGTGTTTTTATTTTTAATTTTTCTTTCGGTAAACTCGTCGATCAATGGTAAACGGAAACGGAAAAGACAGAAACGACGATCGTCTGCATTTTTGATTTCCTTTTCTTTTTCGTTACGTTTCGTAAATTTCCATCTCGAGGAACGGTTCCTACGGTCCGAGAACAAGAATTTCCGTGGAAAAGAAACAGAACGAGAGACCTGAGAACATTCCCATCTTTCTTATTTTTTTTTTTTTTTCAATTCCTATTTCCGTATCATTCTTCATCCTTGCACACATACACACGCACACGACGCGCGCCCACACGACACCTGGTTCTCCTAATTTTCGTTCGAACGAACCACGAACAAAATTTTCACAAAGTCATTTCCACGTATTATTTGTTTCCAAGCTACACCACCGATACTTTGTATACACCTTCCATTTAGAATTTCTTGTTTGTTCTTCCCTCATTTCCGACCATTATACATCCCCGCAAACTCTGCCATCAAACCTGCTATTTCTCTGTCTTTCTCTTGGCCCCTCCTACCCTCATCTCCCTCATACGAACGAAAATACAAAAGCAGACTTCGCGGAAAAAGCAGTAAAACACGGATTTTAAAGAAAAAAAAAAAGAAATGTAAAATTTGCACTCAAAGCTATTTTTTTCCCCCTCCGCGAAACGCCGTGTGACACAGTGGAAGTGTGACAGGCCTCTTTTTATAATTATTCCGAGCAGTGAACAAAGCAGAACAGTTGTATTTCTTTCGGGTCCTGAACGTTTACATGCACATACACACATCCACGCAGAACACACAGAAGATAAGGAAAAATAATAAGAAATCAATTTATAATGAATTTACGTGTAACATTCAATTGAGGATTGTATGTAATTGTATATATATGAGTACAATGCAGTCCATGAGTTAAGATACATTCTCCTTTTTCTACCATGAAAAAAATAAATTATTCTAGTTAATAAAAAAAAAAAAAAATTTGGTGTGCGTTAAGGTCTTTTTTCTTTCATTTCACTCCAATCGATCCCCAGTTCCCATAATTAAGGTAATTATTTTAGAGAGAAAACAAAGTTACATGTCTTTCGATTTCCTAGTGTGTCAATTTGACTCGGGTACTAACATTATATTCAGGTCTAATTGAGATTACTCGACTATATGGTATTGAAATGTATTTTGGTTACTCTAACATAATTCTTTTAATGTTATATTATATCTAATTTAATAAGATACCTTGCGAACGCCCGAATTGCGTAACAAATAAGTATGAGCGCACGTTAGAAAATATTATACATAATTTTTAGCACCACGTAGAATCTTCAAACGAGACTCCCAAGTTTAAATTATTTAATTTCAATCCATTTAAGATAGCTTAAGTAAAATGAATCGCGTTATTGGAGTAAGGAAGTTAATTGAAAACATTGCTTAAAACGGTAAGTATTAATTCGATTAAATCCACCAGCTATTAAAGACATAATTCTTCTAAAGTTTAATAAGTTCGCTTTAAACTAGACATCTAATGCAGATAGGTACATATACATACCATCTCAAGATGATTAGTCACGTAGAAATATGCAAATATGTTGAGCCAAGAGATAAGAATTTACGTATACAAAATCAAATTACCCCTGAAAAGGTGTCATGCGACGCTATAACCATCTAGCGGCCAGGTCTGTACTAATTCGCCTGTAGGTATGCAACCCGGCATACTTTCCTGCAAGCAGGTTACCTATCGCATCTTTAGCCCCGAACGGTGCGTGCGACGCTATAGCCATCTAGCGGCCACGTCTGAACTAATTCGCCTGTAGATATGCAACCGTGAGTACTGGTAACTGCAAGCAGGTTGCCTATCTACAGGCGAATTAGTTCAGACGTGGCCGCTAGATGGCTATAGTGTCGCACGCACCGTTCGGGGCTAAAGATGCGATAGGTAACCTGCTTGCAGGAAAGTATGCCGGGTTGCATACCTACAGGCGAATTAGTACAGACCTGGCCGCTAGATGGTTATAGCGTCGCGTGACACCTTTTCAGGGATAATTTGATTTAAATATAAATTCTTCATAGGTCGTGGAGGTTGTCCATCTCATTCTTTATCCCTTGAATATTTAAACTTTAAACCCTATAAATAACATTAAAGAGTTTCTATTTCTTTATCATGTCTCGAGGAATTTGCATATTACAACTTGACCTAGTATCTTAAGGTTTACATCGTTCGAATTACCCTTTATATACTTCGTTTAACGAGAAAACACTGTGAACAAAACTACGTGACTCGCACTAGGGCAGAAATGATAACAATCATATGGATTTGTTTATAGAATTGTTGTCTCACTGAACGGAGTATAGTAGTGCTACTTACGCTATAAATATTCGTCACCGAGTATTCACAGATACGCAATCAAACTCGATAGCCCTAGTTTACAATACATGTAATAAACAATTGACTAGATTTAATGTAATACTATTAATACGCGACTAACGCGAAACTACTTTGCGTACGTTTCCATCGAAGCTGCGGTTCAAATGCTTTTTCAACGACTAGATAATAGTCGAATTTATTGTTACGATAAAAAATTCATCGTTTGGTAGAAGTGACAAAGGTAACTTTGACCCACGTTCAATGGAAGGAATCGTACGCTCGAAGAAAGTATTTCAATTGCGCGTTTGGAACATTTTTTAAGGAAAAATTGCTCGTTCACTGGATGAACCTCGTATGGATAGAGCAGGAATCGACTATAAGTCGCGTTATGTCGGCCTCAGGGCGCTGACCATGTCGCCCAGCAATCGTTCCACACTGACATCACCTACAGTTGGTTTGAATAGCAATTCTTGCAGGGTTGATCGACAGAGTGCACGAGCTGGGGGTAACAGCAGCAACAGACGCCCAACCCTACGAGCATCCCTTTCGCAGAACACGGCCACCGTTTGCTCTTGAAGGGTTGTTACCCTTCCTCGATCGCAGAGCCCTCGAGATTCTAAATAACGCGTAATAATAGTCATTTGTTCGTTGTTCATACACGTTTCATTCAATAATTTCATATTTTATATATATATGCGTACGAATATATACGTACACGAAACATTTCGATATTATTTTAGGATACTGCGAAAATCTCTGCCACCTGTTTTCTAAACTTTCGAGATTGAGAAATGTGTTCGTACCTCCTTTGAAGAGAACGATAGCCTTGAGGCAGGCGTACTCCGAGTGATCGACCCTGAGGAGGGCGCATTTTCCCAATAACTCCTTCAACCTTCTCACCTCGTCGACGAGCGCTTCCTTCCTGTCTGGCGACAAGTCGCTGGGCACTAAAGCGGTTTCCTCGACAGGGAAATTCCACTGCGCCGCTGTCAACACGAAAAGCTCGCTCCAGGACTCCTCCAGTAGAATCGTCTGGTCTCTGTATGGCAACTTCAGACAAAGCAAAAGGCATTGTAGAATTTTAGAGACACTACTGGTCTGTTACTTAAAGTTAAACGATTGAAATTTTCACAATGCTGTTATTTAATAAACGAGAACAAGAACGTGAATTGCAACTTACTTGTAAGAAAGAATGAATGCTTCTCGCCCATCTGACAGCAAAGAAAAGTAACTTCGCGGCGAATTCATAGATATTTTCCGTGGGTAAAATTGAGAAATTGGTGATATACTCCGAGGACGCGGAGTTGACGATCGGTGGTGCTAATCGAGTGCTCACTAGTTCCTCTGCAAAATTAGAGATGCGACTATTGAAGATAAGCGAACGATTTGACAATGAACACCACAATTCGGTCAAGTATTATTTACAACGATACAAATCGAACAAAAAATATAGCGAACTTGCACCATGAACAAAAATCCTCACCCTTTGTTTCAATCCTACTGTCCAACGTTCCAGCTTCCTCGGAGCTCGTAACTTCGTCCTCCTTGGCGGCGGTCACTGTTATTGGTTCTGTTGGCGACCGTGGCAAAAAGTGTGCTAAAAATTTGTTGTTTTTTTTTTTTTGTCATTAATCAACAAAGTCCTAAAGCCTTTTTAGAGAACCTTACAGATGTCATATTTTGCCTGAAAAAAATGAACGAGTAATTCCACTTACCAACCGATGGCGTGAATGCTGGCACCGTTGGCTTGAAAGGGAACAGCGCAGGATACAGAAGGGGATGATAAGGATTGCTCGCTGCATGGTAAACGTGCGAGATTCCAGAGTAGAGACCTGCAGGACCTCTCCTCGCTGCCGCCACCAACGACGAGGTGTTTCGTGGAGCCCTTTCGTGTTGAACCGCTGTAAGTATTGTCCATTTTTAGCGTTTCGAATATCGATTGCATTGGTGCGATTTTTTTACGTTCAATATCGCGAGTTTATGCCTAATCGATCCCATTTAAAGTATCTTCATTTCGGAAAAAGTATATCTACTTGTCACGACCACTTCCCTATCGCGAAATGAATTTCTAATTCAGAAACGATCAAGATATCGCAACAAACCGTATCACCGAAAGAAGCCCGAGCACGCAGAGGTCTATAACGAAATAAAATCAATCTTGCGATGCCCTTTCGCGTTGGTACTCCGATGCACCCGTTATTGACCCCTTATTTTCATTTTTTTTTTCCAGCTCGAGGACAATCAGACCCGTAGAAGTGCAGACCATTAACGGCACCTCTCGTGTCCTCTCCGTTGCTAATTGATATCCCCGCAGCAATCAAGTGTTTGGATTATCGGGCTGCCCTAGCCGGGATGGAAGTGTTTACAAAAGCTGTGAACGTCAGGCTGCTCGTGACACCGCTCTTCCGCTCGTGGCTAGGCTAACTTTCCGGATTCTGGCGCGGACGAGTATAGAGTTTCATGTGGGCGCGCGAGAGCAGCCCTTTTTATTTCGTTCGACGGGACACCCTTCTCTATTTCTTTGTCGAGGAGACACGGAAAAAATCTCGATGCATTCTAACGTCCTCGTCGGTGGCGAACGATCCTACGCGCGATGTTTGCGCGGCGCGCGAAGCGGAGAACGAGGAACGTCGCGGTTTCTGTCGTTCGCAAGGCGTTCGACAGACGGTGGTTGAGGTTCAGAAATTTAGAAAGCTGAAGAATCGGCTAATCGAAGAGTCGGGAAATTTACAAACACACAAATTTTGTGAACTTTGTACAGCTTGGGGACCTCTGTACTCGTGTAATATCGTGTAAGTATATAAATCATCAAAGAAACAGTATAATTCCAAGAAAAAAAAAAGCTAAAAAATGGACTGTTTTTGTTCCAGCACACATTGGTGTCTCCAGCTACTTCATTTTCTATTCTACAGCGCGTTAGATTGCTTACATATAAAGAGAAGAATCTAAAGTCTTAATCACCGGTGAAACGAAGCGTACCATCTCGTTTCATGTTAACCTGGAGGCACTTGGTGAAACGACATGCCTGGCACTGATTTCGCCGCGAAACGTCCACGATGCAACGACCGTTTTCCTTGCACACGTAGTCCAAGTTCCTGAACAAAGGAACTCGGTGTTATTAAACAGAATTTCAACAAAAATTCATTTTTCCATTTCTAAAACTACGACGGTAAGACATTGGTAGACATGGTACCTCGCGACTGCGCAAGTGCTGTTTGTATGTGCAGTTATTTCAAAAACGATGGAAGATTGATTACCTTGCATACCTGCGGATCGACCGCTTGAAGAATCCGCGACACCCGTCGCAACTCGGTACACCGTAATGTTTCCCAGAAGCCTTGTCGCCGCAGACTTTGCACAAACTCTCGCCTCGACTGTTGTCCTCCATTTTTACCTCGAACCTGTCCAGCAAAATGAAATCGCATCAAGCATATCAGCGATAAAACGAAATTTCGAGCTACGCGATAGTTATAAACGTTCCAGTCGAAGCGTTTTAATTTTGTTTCCTCTCGAGGTGCCATAGACACTTTTGTCACGCTTTTTAGAGAATTTAAGAGAATGTCCAAATGACTCGATTTAACCCATCCGCCCCTATATTTAAATGCTCGTTTTGTGATATAAAAGCTCATACTTCATCTTCCATCGTTGTTTTACATAATATTTACATATTTTATGAGATTATTTCAGCGAAAACTGTACACCGCCTACGACGAAACAGTAATATCGGTTTCGCTTTTCCACGAGGAAGTTACTCTTCATTATCTGTCATTTTCAGCGACGGCGGAACGCTACTCTCGTCGCGGTTGTCGTGACTTCTCCAGTAATTTCTCGTTCAATGGAGGAACTTACAGTCACCGAGCGACGGGTCGTTGCATATTTCAACATGTAATGACAAGCTTGACGATTGTTAAACATCGCTCGCCTACGACGATGTTCGATTCTTCGATGCTCACGACTTAGTGACTTCAATTTCACTGATGTCGGAACCGGCTAGAAGCTCGATGCTCTTATAAAGACGATTGTAAATAAACATTATAGAATTTATGCCGTAGTCACGAAGAGATATATTGAGAGCTGTATATTTCAGAGGAAGGAAAAGAGAGCTGGATATCAATCGGAAGGTTTTGGACATCGAGTCGTGCCATAAATAAAACAGGTAGGTTTTCGAGTCTTCCTTGGTGTAATATATTTAAGAAACAAAACGAGAAAATACAGGCGTTATAAAAAAAAAGGTGAGAGTGATCTGAAGGACTCGAACCAGAGCAAATGAAACTTTTAAATTATAATCTAACGGTTTTTTCGCAAAAATTCCACTGTTATTAATGAAGATATGGAGGTACATAAGTTGACGATGGCTATTACCAAAGAATTCTCTTCTTATGATAACCGACTATGCCACTTATTCCTCAAGTTCGCCAGAAAAGTCTCTCCAGCGCAAGGGGTTAATTTTTGGATTGCAGCGACGGAAGAGGAACGGGAGTACAAGTTCTCCCCGACAGGAGTCACGAAGTCGCGCTAGCCTGGAGGTCGAGTTAAAATACTCCTCCACCCTTCTGGTGACTTTTGCTACCCCTTTTCGAACCAGCTCACGGTTCTCCACCTCTTCGTTCTCCGTGGCCCTGGCGAGAGGGCACCCTCTTTGTTGAGGGCCTCGGGGCGACTCTGCCGCGGTCTTTCTCGTTCCAATAGAACGCTAGGCCACCTGTAGGGTTCTCAGGCTCAATAATGCATCGGTGACGTGGGGCAACGTTCAGCCTTATCGGGCGGTAAACCACCGAGGGTCCTGGTGGATGATGCCACGCTTCGCCGCACCCTTCGTCCCGAGACCAGTATCACCGACACCGTCATTACTTCCACCGCCGTCGACCCCGTCGAGATCCTTACCAGCGACTGACTTTTTAATAGTCCGCCCCCAGGTCTGGAGCGACGGCGGACCTCGCGTGTGAGCGTTAACCTGCCATAATATTTCCAGTGTTCGATGACCACTTTCGCTCTGTGTACAGCGGGAACGCCGCCGGCGTATTGTTGGACGACGAAGGCATCGAGAGGGAACGACTCCATTTTGCAACTGATTCTCACTTGCCTCGAACCCCATATGTTCTGATATTATTTAGATTTACCTGATGGAGTGATGTTAGATAAATAAATTTTAGATAATTTTAAATAAATTGTCATTCCATTTGATCACGATTCGCCTTTAATTAGCGACGGTTAACTGGTGAGCTCTCCTCGAAAACCAGACGGAGTCTCGTATTAATTAATGGCGAATAAATTTGAACGCGACGTTGATGGAAAGTGAAAGTTAAGCTTACGTAAATATCGGGAAGGTGACTATTTTCCCCGTGCTGTTGGCTTGTAGGTGCGCACTTAGGCAGGAGCGGATTGTTTGACCCTGTTTGCATGAACGCCTACCGCGTTTACGCACGCACGGAGCATATGTTGCGCTTTACACGAACACGACTGCCGAAAGTCAAGTTCTGTTCCTTGTGGCGAGCAATGTTGGAAGCACGCTTATTCCGACGCTGAATAAGAACGAAGGAAAACTCCTTTTCTTTCGCCGATGTTACGCATTTGTTTCGAATAGCGTGAAAGATCGACCGATATAGATTTATTTGCTCTATTATGCTGTGGAGGTAAAGGGTTTTCCAAAAGGGCCTATTGATTTCCAGGGGACGCTCTCTTCGTTCAGCATTTTTTATGCGAAAGGCCGCACGTGACGTGACGAGGAAAAAAATTTGCATAGAAGCGACGGTTCCGTGGAGTTTTTCACTCGACTTTCGACACCTTGCATCTAGCGAAACTATCGAAAAGTCATTGGGTTGGCATTAAGCGAGGTTGGGGCACAACTGTGACGAGCTTGTCGAAGTTCTTATGATCGATGGGCTTCCGTTAAACTGCCTTTAAAAATGATACCTCGACAACCTTTCTCGGCCCTGCTCGCTTCGGTTTTGTTAAAGAAATTATTGCAGAACAATGTTCGTAAATGTATCACATACAGTCAGTCCCATAAATATTCGTACCCTCTTCGTCTATTAAAGAAAATTGTCTACATTAAATGATAGGTTCCATGTTTTCAAATAAGTGTTCAACTTTTCTCCCTAATTCGATCATGACAGTGTCGTTCATTGTTCGAGTACAATAGGAGGTACAAAGTGGGTTCATCGAGAAAAAAAGGGACGTGGCGTTAAGGATCCTTTTCCGAGCAACCGCGAAGCGTGACGCACCTTGCTGAGTAATTTTCACCTGGACCTCGCAATCGGGACCGTGTTAAACTTGGATGAGAAGGGACACGTGCGCCTGAGTACCGCGTTACGAGGGCACAATTAATTAAATTAGTCGCTGCGAAAATCTCGAGTCTCTTTAATTAAACGCAATTAAATAATCTTATCGCGTTACGTCTAAACAGATATATAATTACAGGTCACGAGTTTCCGGTCGGACGGATCATTTTTCTACTCGCGTCACGATTTTCGTTAATTTTTGAAGAGTTCCCCGTAAACATTATCGTCGGCCACCCCTGTCGTGACTTTTGATGTCTGAAAGGGTCGACTGCAATTAGACGCTGTTGAATAATAAATCGTCACTGCAATTGTAACGATAACGTGGGTGGTGCAACCTGTTCACATTTGCATATTTAGAAACACTTTTGCTGATTTCCGATCGAGTCGCGTATCGCGTTCCTCCTAATTGTATTAATCCATGTTTTTTTTATCCATATTACTTCGGCTTTCGTCATTCACCCCTGACTTTAACTGCAACGTTTGTACAATAAGTATCGTGATTATACGAAGTTTATATAAATGCTATCATTATAGACGTTTTTACAATCAGCACAGCGCTATTCTAAAAGGAACTTTAGGATTTCGTTTCTTAAATATCTAGACACGCGTGTCAGCTCAGTTGTGGCTGGACGTATACAAATAAATATATTATATAAATTGCATACATTTCGTACGATTTAAATCTCTAATCTTCCAGAGACCTATTCTTTTAAATTAATCGAGAGGTGTCTAGCATCAGGACAATCATTATAGAATCAACGTGGAGTCGACTTCTAAACCGATTTTAATTCGGCAACGGCTGTGTTGAATTAGTTTCGGTCGCGCACGTGCACGCTTCACACGATTGGCAGTGATTGCATGACTCGATCGAGCATGCCGTGCAGAGCACTCGTTCCTAGATCTCCGTGACTTGGAGTGGTAGATCCTTTCCAGTGGTCGTGATATCGACTGGCGCACGATTACTTCCTGCCTTGTTTTATTGAAACTCTTCTTGTCCCGCGAACTTTTACAGCAGATGACGAAAAATTGTTCGAACTGAATTATTATTTAGGCTTTTAAGCGTCTGGAGTAGTAAAGACCACACCAATAAAGGTATCTTTAAAACACGTCAAATGAGGAAAAATTAAACTATATTCTTATGTATTTATTCTGTCTAATAATCGACCACGACTTTCATCAATAGAAACGAATCGATCGAATCACCATGTGTACGACTTCGAGTCACAGTCACGCCAATCATTACCAACCATCGCGACACCAAACCTGTTAATTAAAGGAGATGGGAGGTCGGGCTGGTTTTTGCAATAATTGCGGCCTATACCAACCGTACGTGGACAAGAACGTCGCCTCTTATGACACGTACAGTCACCCTGTAATAAGTGTCACGAGACACGGCGTGTAATGCACATAAATTTCCACCGTAAGTACAGAGTTTAAAGGCCACAGAAACACCCCAGCGAATTGCTCCAAGTACGTTGAATTCGGTCGCGATCGAGCAAAAGCACATCGCGTGCCATAAAATATTGTCACCGAATATCGTACGCATGGACGCGGATCGCCGTGACGCTTGGGCCAACATGTGCGAACGCCTTTCGGCATATGCGTGGACCTTACGCAATGACGTACATCACGCTGCGAGGAGGCAAGCCGTGGACGGACAATTACACACCTCGGCGCCCTAAAAAGCTGGACTTACAGGTGCGTTTACTCACGGATAATTACAGAACCGTCGAACAGCGACACATGTCACGCCTAATAGTTTCATGTTTGAACGAAGCGGGGCTGAAGAGACACACCTAAGGGTGCTGACGGAGGTGTAGAATTTTGGAAGAATTCGCGAATCCTTGGGTCCGATCGACGATCTTTGAAAAATTCTTCGTAGGGCGATCGTAGAGCTTTGTTTAATGCTCAATGTACCAAGTATCAAAGCATTGCGCCATTATGGTGGTGTCAAAACAGAGACCATCTTTGCGTCCATCATTAGCGCCATTTTGTTTGCTTACGCCTAATTGTACACATGCAAAAATTCTATTTCGAACCTCAAACATATTTTATATATATGCAATACTTCTTTGATGAACGCAAATAACGAATAAAACGAATAAAAAATCAACATTCTCGACTTACCTTGAAAGCGATCTCTCGAAGTTTCAGCTACTGGTTCGTTGAACGCAGTTCTTCGACAAGAATTAAAAATACTCGAAAGGTGGGTCAATCGTTCTCGAAGATACGGCAGATATTCACAGACGAATCTCCAACAATGTTTCCCATTCTCTCGTGTCTACCAAACCAACGGCCATCTAGATTTGTTTAGAAAACAAAAGAAAAATTGTTTAGTTTGCTTGATCCACGAAAATAAGGCTCTACTTGCTACCCGTTGGCGAAAAATATAAACGGTTTCTGTAAAACCTTGTGAAAATACGAATGGGTCAAAATAATCGCGTTTCGTAAACCTAGCGTTAAACGTCACAAATGTTAATGTTTGTAGTTCCGTTCTCGCATGAACACGTTCTATCACAGTGAAACAATTTAGCCATCATTTACTAGCAATATTTAACCATCACATATGCAATCACATATTCAACAAGCTGTACTTTCAAGGAGTATTCCAACTCCTACAATCACTGTACCATCTGACCTGACCCGAGGGTCGAAACAAACTATCGATATCACTGTACTCCGATACAACGTCGAATCCCCCAAAACTTGTGTGTTTTGAACCACCGTGCTTCGCAAGGTCCCCTCAAAAAAATCACAAAAGACCAATCGAACCTCCTCGTATGTTCACTTCGTGTATGGTATTGTTCCGTCCTCGTTGGACGTTCCTCTTCGAGGGTAACGATCGCGAACCGACGCGACTGAACGGTTGAATCGAACCGCGAGATCCTTTATCGCGAGGACTGCGTGGATGCACACCGTGTACGCGTGATCTATGGCTCGTAATTTTTGGTCTCTGCTCGCCGCTTCGGGGGTGGCCAAGGTAGGTCGCCGTTGATCGCCTCCGTCGCGTAACACGCCCAACCAAGGGATCGCGCGCGCACCAGGGGTAGTCGAGGACCGCAAACGATTGGCTGATAGGCGGAGCCACCCCATCGAAAGCTCGCGACTCACGGTGGTCGTGCTGGCGCGCTGTCGTGGCCGAGGGAACGCAAAACCACCCCCGACCGACCCTGGAGACCCCCGAGCGTCGAAAGTCAACTCCTCGCACGTTTTCCTCTAATAATCGAGGAGAATGTTCAACGCGGAGGATCCGGGATCCGTGTGTCGGGGGAGGAAGCGCCGTCCGCCCCCAAGGCTTGTTCGAGAATTCTCTGTCGCGGGTCAGGTGCATCGAACTTGGGGGATGCGATCGTCTGGATTCGAGAGAGGAAGCAAGCCAGACTTTGGGGATGAAAGTAACACTTTTTCTCGGTGTTTATCTTCGTCCGGAGGGGACAGTTTGGTATATCGTGGGGGTGTGAATAATTTTCCAAGAGGAACTTCAAGGGAAGTTTGTATTTCAACCCTTTCGACCCTATTAGGACACGTACATCCCAGTGAATATTATATTCAGCATATTATATTTTTAGAAGGTTTTCTATATTAGTGTACGCCATAAATGCATATAATTCGCAGTCTGATAATGACATCGTAAGACGATTAAAATATGCTTGAAAATGTAATATGATTTACTTGAAACTATAATTGAATTATTTGTCATCGTCCTGAAAATCGAATCGAACGTATGCCAATAAAAATTGAGGATATGAATACAGGAATTTTGTCCAAGATTTCTCTTTCCATTTTTCTAATAATTGATAAACACCAAGGACCCACAACGATCTTAATTAGCTGTGGCGCTGATTCTAACAAGAGCCAGTGGGTTATAGATAAATTTCTTTCAAGGCAGTATTCTGGTCTGTGCGCTTAAACAGAAAGACGACAGCGATGAAATGTTAGTGAGCGACACCTGTGCGTTTCACACGGCTCGGACCGTGACATTACGGTTACCAGAGACAGTCGTAACAACGACCATCGACGATAAATATTTTATTTATTGTTACCTGAAAATCGATGATCATCATCTCTGTCGAATGTGTTGTACGTCTACCCAACCGCGGTCTCGCTAATTACAACGTACTATCTTCAAATGCTTACGAGAAATATTATCAATGAAAATTTCCTAAATAATAAATTCACGTTATTAACAGTGCTAACGCTTGTGAAACTCTGACATGGTAAAATGTATTACACGATTATTGAATTTATTCGAAAACATTGGTAAATCGAAGAAATTAATATCAACTGCACCGCTGTGACTCCGCGGAGGGTGAGGGTGAGGGTGGGGGAGGAGGAGGGGGGGGGGGAAGAGCAAGCAGTCTGCACTTGATAGGTCGAAGGATCCGCAGATTCTGAAGCACCTCCTCGACGTGGCAGGAGCAGAAAATCGCGTTGAAGTGGTAACGGTCGGGCTAATGGCTCGGAGACGATATTTTGTTAAACAAGGAAACCTTTTATCCCCCACACCACTTCTTAGACGAGCGCTCGGGGACAGGGACGGCTCCGTTTCAAAAGAACTCAGCTTGTGTTCGCTCTCGACGTTCCGCGTACACTTTATCGCGCGAAATGGGTCTTTTAAACGTGTCTGCGTACTTCATCTTATCGTATCGGTTGTGCCAAATTACTGTTTCCACATTTATAAATAACATTAGGGGTAAATCATATTAGTGCGATGATACCGAATCGATGAATATACTGTGCGAATCGAACAAAAATATGTACAAAGAGTTTTTGCACAAGCGTAGGAAACTATCGATTAGTTTAGTGAAAAGACAACAGGGTGATGCGCTCTTCCTGAACGCGAGTTCCGAACAGATTGAAACTTCTTTTGGAATACCCTTTACATTGTTCGTTAGACGTGACGCCAGTGTTTGTGAAACTCTAAACTATATATACATTTTCACATGATTTTTGAGTTTCACAAGCTCTATAATATCCTTAATTCTAAAAAAGTTGCCCCTCGATTTCAGCCCGCGCCGCGGACTCAGGCGTGGCGAAGAGGATCGACGATAAAAGCGGCCCTGTACCGTCACTTTGGTTTTCTTGTCACCAGAGGAGTACGAGCTGGAAGTGTGAACCGCCGACCACCACGACAAGATACCATCTGCCCTTTCTCACGGTTCGCCCACGCATATAACGCCATTCTCGCGAATTCCTTCGATCCCTCCCGCTTCTGAATCGCTTCTCACTTTCAGCCCTTCCCAAGACGCGAATCGATGTGGCTCGCCTAACTATCCAACAACTCCGCGGAGTTCCGTTCGTGGTGAGTCCCGACGTGACAAGTTAACTCACTCGGCCGCGAGGAAACGAGTGGATGGAACGCTGACGACACGAGGACGTTATTTTTTTCCGTGTTCTAAATACAACGAAGACGGTGGACACTGGTAAGACTCGATAGCATTCTGTATATTGTACGATATAAATGTATAGAGGCGATTTAATAACAAAGGCGATTACAAATGGAGATCTGACCGTGATTCTGAAAATTGATGTCTTAAAGATTTCATTTTGGTGTAAGAGTGAACAGTTGTATGGGAATTTGCGTAAATTGGAATCAAATTAAGATCACTAACTAAATGGAATTTTTCGTTCATTATGGTCATGAAACTTGTGCTCGTAATAAACGAGTTTGATTGGATTATGTACGCATCTACTGTGTCACTATTTCTCATCAACTCGAACTATCAGAGTGCTTTGAAAAAGGTAATAATTTAAAGTGAACAGTTCTTTTGCTGAATTTATTTATAAAAATTAAGATTAGAGTGAAAATAGGGGATTAAAAAAATAATGGTTCCGGCCGGGATCGAACTGGCGACCTTCTGCGTGTAAAGCAGACGTGATAACCGCTACACCACGGAACCCCGGTGAAGGGAACTTGTTTCATACTGTATATATATTGACGCGATAATATAATACCTATATATAATTATTGTATTCAAACTTAATATTGTTAGAAATAAATGGCAGTCGTCTATATTATTGCAATTTATTTATAAACATATGAAAGAGTCGGCCTGTACAAGATATCGATACCCATCCTACGCTTAATGGCAGTGAAACCGATTCCAATATTAACAGTGTATTCTATATAAATAACAGCGTTCACCTTACATTGCACACAGAATAAAACTTGAATACTCTCACTATTAGACGGCTCACGAACAGTAAACCGGTGCGTACGTAACGGTAAACTGGATCGATTAATAATTTAAACGTTATTTATATCATCGCGATAGAGAACAATTAATGGAAGACAATAATGTACAATTGAAATTCAGTCTTGCCAATGGGAGTTCGATAATACGATTTATTTGAAGCAAATTGGCCCAAACGTGAAACCGAACGCCTGATGTGGTAAACCATAATCGACTGGATAGAAATCCACTAGAGGCAATTGTTCTAATTTCGTAGTCTGAATTAAGAACACGGTTTCCCCTTTGTTCTTACGCGTTTTGCAACCGTCAGCCATGATTCGAGGCTTGATATCCGTGTAGGAATATTCGTCTTCGTTTGCACCGAGCAGTCGTATCGAGGAATCGTAATTAGAAGTCAGAGTATTATACCAGCCGACGCTGTTGATACAGGTGTAAGTAAAGTTCTGATAACCCTCTTGGCTCAACAGACGCAGGAAATTTAATTGCACCACGCCGATAGTTTCGTATGTGATCTGCAAGGTAAGCAACGTGTGTGAAATTTGTTTAATCGATACGAATTAAACGTGTCGCCATACTCGAACTCACTTTGAATCCTCCGCGTAAATTCGAGTACCAATCAGTTTTGTTGTCTTCCTTTCTCCACGGTATGTTCGGCATTTGGCTCACGTGAATATCGGGATACACGCAGGTTTCGCCCATGCTCGTCATATTGCAATAAACGTACACGGCGTCGTCAGCCATCCCCAAGTTTGGATCGATCCAGTACCAGCCTGTTTTTCCGTTGCACCATTTTACTCATTTTTAATAACGATTAAAAGAACAAAATTATATGTAAGAAAATAGTCTTTTCACTTTGCTCAGAAGTACCATTAGGTAGTTTTATTTATCTTTTATTATAGAAGCAAGTTAGGTCGGAAAATTTGTTGATTGAATTTATTCCTACCATCGTTGAAATGCGGATGCCCATAAAACAGGTCCTTGCAAGTCCTCGCAGGATTTTCTCTGCTTCCAATGGGTTTGCGTATTCGATCCAGTTCTTTTCTCATAGCGTATATCGAGCTGTACATGTCCAAGAACTTGGGCCCCAACTCCTCCTCGATGCGAGCGTCTTGATCTGTACTTTCTGAACCCTTATCTTTCTCGTCTTCCTCCTCTCTGCAACAGTCACACACGCCGCAACAACGATCACTTATTTATTTATGTATTATTCGTACTAAGATTAGTTCATTGGTACAATAAACTTCTCTTACATGGTTTTCGAAGCGTCGCGTTTTTTCCTCAACAATTGCTCTCTGGTGAACAATAATTCTGGAGGGATCATGGGTTGCTCAGCAGGCGGGCCAGGAGGCCCCGGAGGGCCTGGAGGACCCATTTCGCCTTTTGGTCCGTCGTTTCCAGCGCTACCTTTAGGTCCAAGTGGTCCTTCCATTCCTGGAAGCCCAGGAGGGCCGTCGTTTCCTTTAGGCCCAGGTGATCCATGTGGTCCCTGGTTACCTTTAGATCCCTCGGGGCCAGTTTCACCTCGTGCTCCTTGCTCTCCTTTTTCGCCTTGTTCACCTTTAATTCCCAAGTAGCCTAGTTCACCGCGATGTCCTTTGAGTCCTCGTCTACCTCTGTCACCTTTTGGGCCCTTAGGTCCAACAGGGCCAGCCTTTCCTGGACTACCAACTGCTCCTGGCATTCCAGGTGGACCATTCTCTCCCGCGAGTCCTGGAAGACCTCTGAGACCTGGCAAACCAGACGGTCCTGGCACACCTTGAGGGCCAGTGTGACCTTGAAGACCTTGTACTCCAGGCGGACCCGTGTCTCCCTTCTCGCCTGGCATGCCTGGACCTCCTTGCAATCCTGCTGGTCCTTCTGGTCCCTGAATATTGTATTAATGGAGAACAGTCTTAACTACTTGTATTTTCAATTGTAGAATTCTCATGTAATTTCTTACTGATTTTCCAGATGGACCAGGCAACCCCTCTTTTCCTGGCGGACCAGCGTCCCCTGGAGGACCAGGATCTCCAGGCGTGCCATCCTCACCGTCTTTCCCAGGATCTCCTTTGGGACCAGCTAAACCAGGCTCGCCAGGAGGTCCAGGGAAACCAGGTGGTCCCACGTGACCTTTCGGTCCTTCTGGGCCATTTATTCCACGGCCACCGGGTGGTCCTGGCGGACCACTTTTACCTTCCTCACCTTTGGGACCTGCTGGGCCTCTTTCACCCTGCAATCCATAAAATAAGTGCGTTTGATTTCAGCCCTGATATACAACATGTTATTTTTGCGAATAATTAAAGAATATAGAAGTCTTTTTACCGGTTTTCCTTCAGGACCCTCTACTCCCGGAAGTCCTGGCGTTCCAGCGTCTCCTTTTGCTCCCTGTCGACCTTCTGGACCTGGAGGGCCTTGCGATCCTTCGGAACCTTTGGGTCCTCTTGGACCTTGTTCGCCTGGAGTTCCAGCTGGCCCGACAGGACCAACAGCTCCGGCATCGCCAACTTCTCCTTTCAATCCAGGAGGTCCTGGTAATCCTTGTAGACCTACCGGCCCAGATAAACCTGGTGCTCCGACAGGTCCGTCTTCACCTTTCTGGCCTTGTCTCCCAATTTCTCCAGGAGGTCCCTTTTCTCCAGGCAATCCAATAGTGCCGGGTTCGCCTCGAAGTCCTTGCGATCCAGTTGGTCCTGGAGGACCCTTCGAAATATAATAATAATAATAATAATGTAGTTAGATTCATATCGAATACTCATACTTAATATTGAACTACACGCACCATTTCTCCTTGAGATCCTTTAAATCCTTTCTCACCAGGTGGTCCAATGTCTCCCTTGTCGCCATCTTCCCCTGGGACTCCAACAGGACCTGGAGGCCCTGGTAGTCCACGTTGTCCTGGCAAACCGTCTCGTCCAGTGGGTCCTGCTGGACCAGGATCGCCCATATTGCCTTTCAAACCAATTGGCCCTGGTGGCCCTTTAGGTCCTTGAGTACCCTGAGGTCCAGTTTCCCCGTCTTTTCCAGGTTCTCCTTGAGCACCCTTATCTCCCGTTGGACCCTGAGCCCCTGACAATCCTATTTCTCCTTTTGGACCTGGAGTTCCCTTCATTAAGAAAAAAAAAGTACAATGTAAACGTAGAAAATGCAGTTGTATTTATAAAAAGCAAAACAAACCGGTAGTCCATTCAGCCCTCGTTCGCCAGGAAATCCTGGCAAACCACCAGGACCAGGCGGGCCTTCCTTTCCTGGTAAACCGGGAGGTCCTGGCGGTCCCTCTTTTCCTTGCTCGCCAGGAGGGCCCGATTCTCCAGGATTCCCAGGACCTCCCGGACTTCCAGGTTCCCCAGGCTGGCCAGGTTCTCCAGTGGGACCTTGCGGTCCTATCACGCCAGGTGCACCTGGTGGTCCCATCGGTCCAGAGTCTCCTACTGGCCCACGTTCTCCAGCTGGTCCAGGAATACCGTCTTTCCCATCGAGACCAGCTTGTCCTGGTGGTCCGATGTAACCACGAGGACCTTCAACACCTGGCGGACCAGACTCTCCTTGCAGTCCTGGAGGACCTGGCTGACCCGTGTCACCCTTCGGTCCTGGTAAACCTTCGGCGCCTCGTCTTCCTCGAGCTCCTCTGAAACCCTTTACGAAAATCAATTAATTAATTTCCATTTAAGTTTATCGATATCGAAGTAGACTTTTTTCTTACTTACTCTGGGTCCTGGTTCGCCACGTTCACCTTGCGCGCCGTTATTTCCCTAAAATAAAACAATGCATTCCCGTTGCATTAAGCCAGATGTTTACCTTTCGCGCACCATGCGATTGTACACATAAAAAAAAAAATGTATTAACATACCCTTTCTCCTTTATCCCCGCTGGGACCTTGTCGTCCAGGCTGACCTTTGTCACCTTTCTCGCCGATATTTCCGGGATACCCGACGAATCCAGGAGAGCCAATCTTCCCTTTTTCGCCAGGCGGTCCAGCTGGTCCAGTCTCACCACGCGGACCTTCGAAACCTTTGGGTCCCTCGAAACCTTCCAAGCCAGGAATTCCTTGCGGACCAGTGGATCCGATCTCTCCTTTCGCGCCCGCGTCACCTTTCTCTCCTTCCAATCCTCTATCCCCCTTTTCCCCGCGTTCACCAGCTGCTCCACGTTTGCCCTCGTCGCCCTTCACGCCACGAATTCCAGGAAAACCTATCGGTCCTTGCGGTCCCTGCGGCCCTTGCTCGCCTTTCAATCCAGGAACTCCTGGGTTCCCTGGATGCCCAGGCGATCCGTCTGCTCCAGAAAGACCTGGGATTCCAGGCTTGCCTTGGGGTCCCTGAGGAGATTTTAAAATGTTTGAAAATATTTATGGGATCGACTTTATGTCAATATGAAGGGAACTCACAACTAGACCAGTTGGGCCTAGAAGACCTTGAGGTCCAGGTGGACCAATTGCGCCCACTGGACCCGGTGGTCCTGGCGAACCCAAGGATCCTTGCGGACCAGTATTGCCCTTTGCTCCAGGAGGACCTTCGCTTCCAGGAATACCAGGGTTACCTGGTAAACCAGGAAAACCTCGCGGTCCTATGAATCCTCTGGGCCCCTAAAATGATCTCGAAATACATGAGACTTTATCGCTGCTAAAACGTATTATGGTTATACAATGTTACTTCGTCGAAGGATCTTGCTTACCATCTCACCAGGTAAACCTGGCAAACCCGGAGCACCATCGTCACCTTGCATTCCTTCGTGACCCGGTAAACCTGGTTCTCCAGTGGTTCCTGTTTGGCCTCTTTCACCTTTATCTCCTGGTAGCCCAGGCAACCCAGGTCCACCCTGTTCACCTTTCATTCCAGGTGGTCCGCTTACACCCCTGTCCCCGTCTCTTCCAGGCCGACCTCTTCTGCCCTCCCTGCCAGTAGTTCCAGGAATTCCTAACAAAGCGTCAACGTTACTTTTATTTTTCTTCGAGTAAACCACCTACCCGTCTATTCTTGAGTAACTATTAGATTACGAATGCTTAAATTAATCTAATACCCCTATCGCCTCGAGGACCAGGTTCTCCGACATCGCCAGGCTCTCCCTTCTGTCCTTGAGGTCCAGGCGGTCCTTCGGGACCTGGGACGCCAGTCATGCCCATGGGGCCGTCGGCGCCTCTCATGGCCATCATGTGCTGCGAAAGCATTTGCCTCAAGGCCTCCGCCTGAGTGTCTGGTCCTTTCTCGTTGCCTTGTTGACTCAACGATGGCAGTATGAAGACGTTGCCTGGTGGGCCAGGGGAGCCTTGCTGACCCGACAGTCCGTCCCTTCCTGGTTCTCCTTTCCTTCCAGGTGCTCCAGCCACGCCTGGTGGTCCTGGAAATCCTCGTGGCCCCGGTGGACCTCGAGCCTCATAATAACTGTGGCTGTAATACGATCCTCCGACCGAGTCTGAATATGGGCTCACTCCAATTGAATTCATGGTGCTTCCAGGAGTCTCCAAGGTCGTCTGTATCTCCCCTGCTATGGTTGCATCGATTCCGCTGACGATCTGTAAATAATCATCGTTAAATGTAGGCTACCTTGGACGCTGAACTCTTTGGTCGAGGCTTCACTCTGTTTTTATTTAAACAGCATGCTTAGTTTTGAGTTTCAAGACTTGAAACATTTCTGCCATTGGTTATAAAAATAAATTACAGCGTTTTGATTTTGAAGAAACGTTTCCACGGTTGGTCTAGACGCGTAAGTCGAGTTCGTGGATCTGTAAACTAAATTGTAGTCGTCGTCATCTTCGACCGAGGTATTCTCGTTTGTCTCCTGGTGATCCTCTCCCAATCCTCTCCTGTAACTCGACCGTTGGCCATTGACGGTAGAAGACGTTCTACCATAGCCTCTAGCAAAATTAGCAGTACTGGAACTCCATTGCGTTTGATTGCTACCAATGCTGGCCGAATTTTCATAGTAACCGGACGAAGTGGTATGCACTCCACCGATATTTCGCATACTCGAATAACCACTTTGTCTGTGTCGCGTTTGATTTCTACAATCTGGCGCGAAGATGGTGCAAATTTCGTAGGCGGCGTCTGGAATCGGAGCGATCTTCAACGTTTCCAAGTCGCCCTGTAAAGAATTTCAGGAAAATTTCTAGTACCAATTTTCTGTTTGATCGTTTCTTTAGATACTTCGTCGACCAACCAAGTAGATGTTTCCTTCGACGATCTGTTGACCGATGATTATGATGCCAGTGTCACTGACCGTTTCCCGGTCGTTCCTACGCAATTCTCTCGTAACTCGTTGGACGCAATCGACGATAAGAGTAACGGCGTCTCCTTTGATGCTGAAACCTAAGCGATGCCAGTTTCCGTCGGAAATATCAATTCCAAAAGAAATTGGTTTATCCTCGTCGTCTGGGGTTGTGCTGTAGTAAAGAGTGACGTCACTGCCCAACGATAACACCAACTGTTCCTCTCCGCTGTCGCTGTAGATGGCAAACAGCGTGGCAGCTGGGTACCCTAATTTTTTTGTCATCGTAAAACGAGTCATTCAATCAAAGGCATGCTCCTAGAGAACTGAATCGAAGCAAATAAATCGAAAGGGCTACTCACCCAGTTTTGGTCTGGCCACGACTAAAATGGAAAAATCGCGAGCCATGCCATTGGGGAACAGAGTGCTCGTACTAAGCGTTAGTATAGCGTCTTCCGTGATCTCGTATGCGGGGGTGTCGTCCCCGTGACAACGACTTTGCGTCACCGTCACACCAAAAGGCTCTTGCTTCATTCCTGTACCGGACACCAAGTCTACGATGTCTCTTTCTGAAACGATTAAAAAGAGAAATTTTCTTTTATTTAACGCTATTTCACACAAACACCAGTATTTTAATCGATACATTTAATTGGTACAATAGTTAGGGTTTGAAAATAATTTCAAATAACAATTTAATACAAATTAATACAATCAAAATCGGTTGTATTCCATTCCATTTGTATTTAATTAAAAAGAAGAAAATTCTGAAGCTCATTTTGACTATCGTATGAAGCGTGAGATTCCGCGTGAAAGACGTAATGAAATAAACGCGATCGCACGGCGTCAATGAACAACTGGAAACCCAGTAACCCCTGAACCCGAAATACGTAACTCATCGCTTTACAACGAACGTTTAAACCAGTTCCATTAAGAAGTCCTCTTTTCCAGAGTGGAACGCGTAGTTTTGCATGCAACGGGCAGCGCCTCAATTAACGCAATAGAGATCACTTAAAAAGACATTCACTGGTAAACCGACATTTGTTACGTGGCCTGTACGATGATTTCTACGCTCGTGCTCGTCACCTACACAAAGTAGGTGCGACAATTGCATTCGAACGTATTTTCGGCGGTAGTTTATTTTTTTGTCGTTCAAAAGTTCGTCCACCAAAGCTTCGAGTGATCAGCTGTGAAATTTGTAATTAGCATCGGCTGGGAGAGTGACGTGGGTTCTGTCTGATAGATCTGGATCGTGGTTCTGAGGTTCATAAAAATCTGTATGGTCCATAAGAGGCTGTGTCAAAATTACGAAACCTTTATATCGTTTTTCATAAATAAAGACGTGGTCAATTTAAATCGAAATAGACTCATAGCCTATTCACACAGCCACAGACAATTCGATGCATCGAGCCTCTTATATTAGATATGGCTAACTAAAATGCACAGATTAGCATGAGATCTATTAGTGTGTGAAGCCTTCAGGACCTTACGAAAATATAGCACTGCCTTTCGGACCGGACTCAGAATCCAAACTGTGAGCCAGAACCCAAAACGATCTGTCGCTGAATGAACTTAAACTACGTCACGCGTCTGACACGTTACGGTGCTTGGTACTTGCCCATGTCCTGCAAGGTGACATCGGCCATCACCGAGTGCAAGCCCAATCTCAAGAGGAAACAGAGTACGGAAGAAACGGTGCCGATGGTGCGAGGCAGTGTTCTCCATCGTTGTTTCGCGTGGTCCCGCCGCATGCTACCCCCCTTTCCTCGTCAAATCATGATTTTCACAGCGAATTACCCCGAATTGTTTTTCACCGTGAAAAAGGACGGAACGGTGGGCAGCGAACTTTCGATCCGATGGATGGGGTCGTGAATATCGCGAGGACACTCGAAACGCAGCGAAAACTTATCTGAACGCAATAGTCATCTCGATGCAACAGCCACCCTCCTCCACGCGTTTCCTCTTCTTCTCTTTCGGTCCCTCGTTTCTAATTCCAACTCTCCCCACGCCTTTCTTTCGCGTAAACGCCGATACGCGACCGTCTTGCACACGCGTTACACACATGTGTCTTTTAACGACAATTCCGCGTCCCATTCTATTGGCACTGATTCGGATAACACGTGGTGCCATAAGACACCGACATTGTTGGAAGGGAGGGATGTATTCTTTGTCATTTTTATTGTTTCATTGGTCTAGGTCTAAACAGTCGCGTGACTTCGACGCTTAACAGGCGCTTTATTTACGAAAAATTCAATACGTGCCAGCTTAACACTTTGGATTTAGGTGGATTACAAACTGTCTCACCTTTCGATTAACTTTAACATCTTATTTAACATTTTACATGAGATCTGAGGTCTACTAGGTCAGACGGTATGTAACGATAGAGTTTCTTTTTAATTTATGTCGTCTCTTATAATTTTCAGCCAAGAATAATAGACCAGAAGACTATAGAAGAAGAAAATCAGCCTGATGGATTCGGGCTTATTATTTTTAATTGTTCCGCGGGATGCGATCATCGTTTAGCTATGAAGGTTTTAATTAGTTACTTCCCGAGTTGCATGTGCCTTGCAAACCACTTTTCTTTCCTCTGCACGCGAGGTGACAGTTTTATTATCCGCATTGGAGTTACGATAAGTAAAATAAAAACTCGTAAAATTAGGAGAGGTTTATTTTCACCTGACGGCATTGCAAATGTTGTGTTGCACGCGCTATTGATAAATTTAAGTTATAAATTCCCTCGGAATTGTACCAAGTCGAACTATTTTTGGTATGATGTTGATTATAATTAAATAATTACAAAGAGTATGGGAATTACATTATACATTAATATTAGTATTATTGTATTTTGAATTCATTTATAAACGTAGCGATGGCGCCATCGGTGGCAGAACGTCCAAGTTTGTCGTGAAATAGTTCTAACTTTTCACCAGTAGATGGCGCCACGACTCAATGTTTTCTTTAAAAAATGTTTGAAATAAGTTCTAGCTCATAAATCAAAGGTTGTGAATTGAAGTTCTTATTCATTATGTTTAAAATGAAGCATAATTGTGCATATATGTAACGGAAATTAAATATGTGAAAACTTACCCTTAGTACAGATACTGTATCGTCATCTAGTGGACGAAACTTGAAACTATTTCGCTACAAATTTGGGCATGTGGCCACCGATGGCGCTGGCCGCGTAATAACTAGAAGCTAGTGGAATAAAGAAGAGAATACCTAAATTCACCATGTATCATGTATCGTACTCCCCTCAAAAGGAAGAAATTATCGCCTTCAATTATACTGGTACATGATAATATTATCCATACAGTATAATTATTTATCTAAACGGTAATTCAAAAGGAACAAATATTTTTGGAGAATTTTCTCTACATTTTAAACGTTTACTTGTCACATTCTAGCACGTATGTATCTGTACAAAAAGACCAATGACAAACGTGTTTATTAAACGCTGTTTAATTAATTACCTACCCGATCATAGTTATCAAAAGTTTGTATTTTTATTTTGTGGCATAAAATGCATGACGTGTTTTAAATTTATACCAACATCTCGTGCTTCGTATGGTATCAGTATCTGTGTATTTACTCGGTGTACTCCAAAGAAAAGTACTTGCGAGTATACTTGTTACATTGATGACAGTAGTGTATACGTGATTTCGTTCTTGTAAACATTGTGTTGTGATTTAGTGGAGTAATTATTTTTTCATACGAAATACATTCACTTATATCATCTAACAAACATATTTAACTAACGGAGATTCGTCGCAATACGAGAATTCTTCTAAAGCTTGAATAATATGTAATTATCACTGAAATCTACACAGTATGGATACAGTCGTCCTGGTTGGTGAGTTTTGTACTCTGCCATTAAAATCATTTTATGTATTTAACGAAATTACTGTTAAATAGCGTATCAACGTAAATTAAACGACTTCAATTGAAAGTTTTCGAGTACAAGTACATATTGATAACCGAATCGGAGTAATCGCTTTGAAACTATTATACGACGTATCTTTTGTCGTGGCTTTATAAGTCATTAAAGCATACTATCGTAATATTTTAACCGAAATTTTGTTTTCATAATCCACTTGAATTTGTTTTTGTACGTGAATTCTACAATAGAATTTTTCTTTGCGAGGAAACTCGAGTAAAATCGAAGTAATATTTTTATATAATTTACGAGTTTATCTTAGGTTATGGTGCATTTAAAAAATTGTTTATTTTATTTCTTACTACGCCATCTTTCATTTTTCATTAACTAATTCATGAGAAAACACACTTTAACAATTATTTAATATCGATTTATAAGCTTCTTCAAAATATCACTGATATTAATCATTGTTTCTTATTAACAGGACAATCTATGGATTCTTAAATAATTGTAATGAATTTGATGTTTTACCATGGAACAAGTAGATGAAGTGCAGATTGTTACTATCCAAATACAACCAGAACTAACAGTTAATTTATCTTCCTCGCTAGAGTCAGATTCGAATAATGATCATGTGACAAATGTGGAAAACATTCCTGAATGTCAAGAAAGTAGTACAACAAATTGTACAGACAAATCAATTGAAGCTCCATTGTCGATAAATGAATGTGATATAAATAATACAACTGAAGAAGCTAATGTTAAAATTGAAATACTAGAGAAAAAAGATGATATAAATAATGAGTTGGCACAAGAAACAGTTGGTAGTAATACAGAAGGAACAAGTAATAATGTCATAGAAACAACGGTTAATAATAATACAGAAGAGATAATCGATATTGATACAAAAGAAACATTTATTAATGATATACAAGCAATAGTTAATAATGATTCACAAAATAATGCTGATCATGATATAAAGAATGATATAGTAAAGGAAGAACATGATACAATACAAACAATTGAAATTAAAGATGACATAATATGTATAGAAGATGATATATCCTTAAAGGAACAAAGTACTAACATTTCAAATGATGTTACAATACTCAGCACAGATAAAAGTGAAGATGAGCAAAGTTTTGAAGAAAATGTTTGTACATTAAAAGAGACAGAGCCAAGCAATGATACTAATGCTCAATGTCAAGCATTAATTAAATCACTCAGTCAGTCTTTTGATGGTAAGGACCAAGCTTTGCATGTTGCAGATACAGATGCAGATTTGACAAAATTGGTGGATGGTGATTCAGAAGTTATGGTAGTAACAGTAGAGACTGTGCCTCTTAATGATTCAAATGAAACCACAGAGGAAAATATTATCGTGACTGTACACGAAAAGGATATTATGGTAAATTCCAATGATAGTAACCTTTCATTGATGAAAGAAAACAAAACTAAAAAAACTAAGATAGAAAATGAAGAGTTTGGTTTAATAGATTACAGTCAAGAAAGCGATGGAACTATAATTGAAGTGATTTCAACAGAAGTTGTTGATTCAGAAATTCCTGAAACATGTACTCAACGAAATAATAATGAAATTTTCAAACATACTACTTCCAAAATAGATTCTGTAATTTCAACAAAAATAGAAATTGTAGATAACATTGCTAATGAGGAAAGCAATGTAAAACAGGAACAGATGCAGACAGTTGGGAAATTTGAGATTGAATCTGATAGTTCAGATAAAGATAAGATGAAAGAAGAACTTGTTCACAGTAAATTTATTGATTCTCCTATGCATGTAAATATTTCGAGTGAAAGAAATGTATCTGTAAACGAAGTAAATAAAGCAGGCGCGACATTGAAAGAGAGAAGTGTACTTCAAGATATTTTTGATGATTGGGGTGATGAGAATGCAGAAGATGAGAGTCAGTTGGTATCTAAAGTACAAGATACAGTAGAAATTGAATTAAAAAGCTTACTAGATGATACAAAGACAACCGAAACAGTAGATGAAGAGAAAGAAATGCTGGTTAACAAAGAAATTGTATGCATAACAAAAGATGCTGTAGCAGGTGTTGGAAAAGTAGACATTGGCAATGAAAATACAGAGGCGAAAGAGGTACAAATATCAAAAGAACCAACAGATAATAACCAAAGCATAAAAAGGCAACAAAGTACTATAAAGACATTGGGTAAAGATCAAATAAGTTTTAGACTCTCACAGAATTTTGGAAAATTTATAAAAAATGCAACACATGATTTGACTGCATTAAGTCAAACATCATCACAAGCAAAAGTAACGCCCATTATTAATCGTCGTCGTAATTTGAAGAGTCAAATCGCTTCACCAGCTGAAGTAACAGAAGCATTAAAAGAACGATTTCGTGAAAAGCAAAAAATTATAGAAGCACCACCAGAACCTGACATATTTTTTGTTAAGAAACTAACTCAGAGATTATCGAGTAAATTAGCAGGTGGCCCAATAAATTCTTTACCAGCACTTATACCATTACCTCAACCTACAACTCCATCTTTTGCTCAGTCTAATAAAAAATCAACCGAAAATGCAAATACAGAAACTACTAAAGAGAGCAGTTCAGACAATAAAGAATTACTAGCGATATTAGAAGGCGATGTTGATCCTGACTGGTCTAATTTGAAACCACCAACCTTAACAGAAGAAAGAAAAGATCCAGTTGAACAACCTGGTCATAATACACCACCAAAACTTGATCCTTTAATTGAACGAGAATTAGCATTGAAACAACTTCTGGAACTACCTGTTGCATCAGTTAAAAAAAATATTTTAAGGAAGAAAAAAACATTTAAGCCTGCACCTGGTAAAGCTGCTAAGGAAGCAGAGACAATATCTGT